AGTGATGGAAACGTTATAGCTTGGTGTCGCAAGGACCAGCAGCGTTTGAAGCTACCCATGTTCTATTCATTCCTTAGCAGCTATGCAGCTGGGTGATGACAATTTTGCTGCTAACTTGTCTCTGATGCACTTTAAATCCAAAATAGATCATAGAATTTCTTATTTAACTGGATTTTGAAGTAGTTTGTCTCTAGAATGACTGAACACATCTTTGATAAAGAGCAGTCTAAGGTGGTTGTATAATTATGTATGTGCATGCACAAACTTGAAGTATATCCAGGTCACCAGGAAGCTCTGGTCATATACTGCAATACCAGCAAAGTGACTCGTAAATGCTCTAACATACAAGTCAAATGCTGCAATATAAAACATAATAGTTTTTTTAAATCACTTCTGGGACAGAATTAAAAAAAAAAATAAATAATGCTTATTCCCTCTTTTCTGTTGTAAAATACCGGCAGCGTTAAGTGCTGTAAATATCTATTAAAGTGTCAGTGTATGTATATCTGGTTTGTTGAGCGTGGTATCCTTAGCTCTGGGATAAGCAACCCAAAACTTAAAAAATCCAAGGCCACTTAAAATTGCTTTTTTGAGAAGCAAAGAACTCAGTAGGTGCTTTTTGCACCATCTTATGGTATAGTAATGCTAAAAGTTGAATTTCTGTTATCTTTATATTTGTAATTTTTGTCATTTCTCTGTTAGCATAATAGTCTGCAACAGGCAAAATTAAAATTTGTCTTAAGTGATGGGTAGACACCTCATGGAATCACGAAGTAATGAGATCATGTTTTGGTTTTGTTATGTTTTTTTTTAATGTGGTATTAACTCCCAAACTTTGCAACACTTAGCTTTTGCAGTTCTGTGGCAGAATATATGTTATATACACCCACATCTTATCTTGCAGAGCTCTAAAAAAGGTGTTAAGGCACAGATGTGCTCCTGTTCTAGTGTCATTGAAGTTCAATACACTGTCAAATATTTTAATCTAACTGCTTGAATAATCAATGTTCATAGGCATCAGATGATTTGGAAGAGTTTACACAGATGCACTGTGCAAATAGGTTAGTTATTCCTGGGTGCTATTGTTTTGAGGAGGAGAAAAATAAGCCTCCTTAAAGGCTTAACATTTGAGTTCTTAGGCCAGATCAAAAATTAGCGTTTCACTTGATGGATTTGAAGACCTCTAAGCCTGCCACCATGAATGGGTGCCTACCGGTTATGTGAATGGCAAAACAAGAATGTTCTGCAAGTCTGATGTCATTTTTCTTTTAAATTGCTTTACTTTTTAATCACTGGCATGTTCTGTGCTTGCCATACAGATGAACTGCTATGTTTTCTTATATGAGGGTTTATCTGCCTTCACAACATTGTATATGAAATTGTCAAATTGTGAGGAAGACAACATAGAGGGAATCTTTCCACTTTTGAAAATTCCAAACAGCCTTCAGAGAGTCTTGTAACTTCCTGATTGAAGAACTTTTCAAACTAGAAAAACTTAAGAAATATTCTCATGGGCCATGGCACATTACCTTGTTTTTTTTTTTTGTTCAATTAAGCAAGTGGCTACATACTGTATGAATTGAATTTTAAACTGTGTATATTGTAGCAGCATTGTATGGGTTGGATTTAGTCATGTTTTTCACTGTCTAAATGTTAATGTAAGGTCCAAATACAGACTGAAAAGCTTCATAGCTCGTGTTGAAGTGATGTGCTTTATCTAAGAGAAAAAAAATCCACACTAATACTGTGGTTTGGGGGGTCTTTTTGTGCTCTCTGATTTGGGGTGTTGCTCACAAAGGCTTATTTTTATAAAGTAGACTTCCACTTGTTACAAATCAATATGCAAAATTGTTGGCCTTGTAAAGAGTGCAATATTATATATTTTTATGTAAAAGTAAAAATGATTTTTTTGAAGCAAGGAATATTTATTCAGCTTAACATTCTGGAACTATTCAAATAACATTGCAATAGTATCTGTGCATGACATGTACTGAAATTTCATGTAAATGTCACATTCCACACTGTCTTTGTATATATATAGTCTTTGTATATATACTGTCACATTGTTGAGTAATAAACAGATCTTTGTACCAAATTGTTTGATATTAGAAACATAGTTTTGGCTTAGTTTCACCTCTTCTATTTTAGGGACCTTGCACAACTTGCTCCAAATCAATTTCTGCTGGTTCTCATATCTTGCATATTTTAAAAATCATGAAATGGGAAAGTTCTGTTCATGGACTACATCATGTGGCTGTCAGACTGGATGGGAGGGGTGTAGGACTGCTGCAAGTGGGAAGCCCTAGGCATGTTAGTTTGCACATGTCTGTATGTCCTTTCTTCCCACAGGATTTGTTACAACAATGCAGGTGAAGCCATGGTGCTCAAAGCAGAGATATTGCCTTACCCCACAGCTGTCTCTTCCCTGAAAACCTGTCTGAGATAAGAAAAGGCAGAAAAGCAGCTCTTCTCTGGATTCTCTGAGAGAGGGAAGAAAAAGGTGCTGGGTAGAGATTGGGGATCTCTGGGGGCCATCTCACACAGGATGCAAGGCTCTCCCTGTTGGAAGCTAGGGTTTGGGGAGATTCATGTGGAAGGGCCTGTCTATCTGATACCACTTGCAGGACTTTGGTAAAGCCAGATCATTGTGTTCTGATTGTGGAGAGAGAAATGTGAGAAAGGGAAGTGGTGGCAGTAGCCAGATACTCATTCATGATAGGGGGTAAGGGGAGAAGAGGGAGTCCCTCTTACTGAAAAAGGGAACCCTCATCTCTGGTTTACAGATCCACTGTGTAGACAAATGCCTGACAATGACTAGGAGAAACAAGAAAATCAGTAGAGAATGGTTATCTGTGAACTGCAGTAAACACAACAATTTTCTGCAGGAAAAAATGGTTTCTAAAACCACTTTTCAGTATTTACTCTGAAATACCAATTTTGAGGATATTCTCTTTGGAGAAACTTCCTTCATACTGAGCAAGAACCTCCCCCTTGATTTACTATGATTGCAAGCTTCACTATGCATTTTGTGAAAAGAACTTGTGTAGGGAGCAATGCGGAGCAGTATCACCTGGTTTGCTGCTAACAAACTTCAGTACTTTTAAGTTTACCTTCTTAGTTTTCTTCATGGTTTTGTGTTGGATTTTTTTTTCTTGTATATACTGCTACTTTAGCATAAAAATAATAAAATTTAAAAAATATTTAACAGCTCTGCTTGCCTTGAAAAATAGCCACTGGAACATCAGTTAAACTTCCGGAGCTACAGACAGTGTTTTCTTTGCTACTGTTACAAGTTGCAAGCTACTGACAAATGACTTCTGTGTAGAGATTTACTTGCCACTACTGCTCTAGAGTTGGGTCACAGCCACTGATTTTGCATCTGGATTTCTGTAATAGGCTATGTTTTGGTATTTTGCAATTTGGGTTGGGTCACTTTTGAAAGAGGATAAACAGCTAGCGTGTGTTCCCAGGAACTTAATAGATAATCTGGAGTTTTAAAATGCACTTCAGTGAAGCTCATATAAGCTTATTGGGTGTAGGTCACGTAGATTTAAGGAACCAAAATTGATGCTAGCTGTTACAGATACTGCCTTCAGAGCCTATAGCCCAAGTCCAGCAGGAGACTACTGGCTGTGGTAGAACATACAAGTTTGCAGATTAAAAAGGAAACATGTTTATATAATACATGATGAGAATACATTTTTAAAATGACTCCACCCTTGTATTGTGGCTTAAAGAATAAAATTGTTAGAAATTGGTGACAGCAAAATTACTAGAACCATTTAGTATGCATTCTTTGCCTAATACCATGTAAATAATTTATCTGGTAAATAGAACCTTTGTGGAATGAGGGTGTAATTAAATGTGAATGAAACAGTAGCAATTTTTGACCAGTTTCTGGATGTCTGTTTAGGGTAAACTTATGAAGTCACCTGTTTATACTCGGTAATACCTTTGTCCTTCTCCCAAGCCACGACCCTCTTGGCTCACTCTTTGAAGAGGCTGCCCATGCTCCAATGCACCTTTAAAAAGCAGGGCTTTTCCCTCTTCTCTTATGTATAGAAAAGATATGTCCCTTGGAAATGCTTCTGCTCTGTTAAGATGGAGTGTGAAAAAGTGCTGACAGCAGGATGATAAATGTACGCCTTTCCAGAGGGAACAGCCATGTTACAGGGGAACAAAACAGATGAGGTTGTGGTGGTGGTACTCCTGCCACGGTGTTAGCTATTGGGGCAGACAGTTTTTTCAGTTAAAAACGTTAACGGGCGCATTAACTGCTGCTGCCCTTTATCCTTGACTTTCAAATTTGTAATTGAGAAGTATATAAAAATGAACTATAAAGCTAAATTATTTTATTCTGGCATACTTGCCTTCACAAGGTAAGTCGGAGCGGTCCCTTCTCCACAGTGGTTTCTTTTTGCAGTGTGCTTTTGGGTTCTTTTACTTCATCTTTGCATTGTTCAGTGCGAGGAAAGGATAGGCACTGCGGGCTCTTACCACGCCGTACAGGGTTCAACACTGCAGAAACAGGTGCCACCAATCCCCCGTGAGCTACTGCCTGGACGGAGGGAAGTAGGTGCCACTGCACGGGAGGGCAGGAGGGGCGGCACCGGGCTGCGCTTCAAGTTTACCTCACGGCCAGGTCCCGCTTCCCGCCCTGCGCTGGTAACGGCCGCGTCCGCCGCGCGGGGAGGGGCCCACAACGGCTGTGGCGGCCGTTGGTCGCGCCCGCCCCGCCCGTCAAGGCCGGCAGCGCCATGTGCCGCCGGGCAGCCCCAGCCAGCACCCCCGCCTGCTGCCGCCCGCCAGCTGTGAGTGCCCGGCGGCACACCGCCGCTGCACGGGAGGCGGGAGCGGGTAGGGCGGGTCGGGGCGGCCCCGGCGGGCGGGTAGCGGCCCTTCCGTGAGGGGGTTTCTTCGCCGCTGCGACGGCTCTGGTGTGCTGGAAAACCCGCGGCTGCCTCCGCCCGCCCGGCCGGTCCCGTCGGCTGCCGGTAAACAACGCCGCTCCGGCTACCCGCAGAAGCCATCTCCGGGCTTTGGGTTTCATTGTTGTCGTCTGCGGGGTTGGGAGAGATCGTCCTTGTCCAGACAGCCCGCTTCAACCCCCTGTACCCCTCGCCGCGGGCGCTGAGTGAGTGGGGTCTGCTCCCCTCCCTCCGGCTGTCTGGTGCGACGGCGCCAGAGAGCGGCTGCTGCGCTGCTGGCGGCTTCGCACGGCAGGGGAGTAAACCCCTTTCGTGTGCGGGGTGTGAGCGGCTGCACGGGGGAACGAGTGACATCAAACTCGGAAAAGCGACTCGAAAAGCGGCTTTGTCCTGCAGGTAATAGAGTGCCAGGCTTCTCAGGGGCGCTTTCTTTGCTTTATGTGTCATAATTCACTTCAAATACGTTTAAACCAGGATTTAAGTGGAATGATCAAACTTCACCGTATATTTGTTTTCAAGATCATAGCTATCTTTTAAAGTTAGCTGAAGAGGTAAAATAGAAGGTAGGAATCACTTTTCTGTGTCTGGTGGTTTGCTGGACTGTACATGCACATAACCTGTATGCTGATGATAAATATATTGCATAAAAAGAATTGTCCTTGTGAAATGTCATATTGGTTCAGCCATTGTTTCCTTAGATTTTTAAATGTTGAAAAACGAGATGATATTTTTGGATAAAAGATTTGAGCATGGTGACAAGACTTTTTGGAAACTTGACAGTTGGACTGGGTTGTACCTGTGTTAGGTGAAAATTGAAGTTGGGCAGTTTGCAGTTATGTGGTCAGTTATTTTTGAAGTCACCATATTTATGACATGAAAATTATATTCTTATGGTCAGCAACAGACAAATAGTCTTTCCTTTAATCATTTCTGCTTGTACTACTAAGCTTATTCTTAGCGGATGGAGTATCAAATTGTAGTAATTCTCTATTACTTCTTCATGCAACCATGGGATAGAGAAAGCAAAAGGGTTCCTTAGGCTCCCTCTGTGTTTACAGAGCTACATCAAGTGCAGTAAATCTTGCAGCAAGAACTGAGATAGCAGGGGTAGTTCTTCCTATCCCCTTCATGCCTTGCAGGTGAAAGGGGAATGACCTGTGTCATGTGGACAGTGATGCTAGCACAGATAGCTACTGGTCTTAATGCAGGGGTATTTATTAAGTTTCTCTTACCTAAATAGCAAATGTAGAACTCTCTTTCCTCATTTGCCCCCCCCTTTTTTCCCTCTTTTTTTTTCTCCCTTCTCCCCCTTTTCTTCCGTCTTCCCACCCTTTTTCCCTCCTCTTTTTTTTCTCTCTCTTTTTTTTTAAATTTATTTTCTTAAGTATATATTTTTTTTTTCCTTTGATATGCCAGTTTGGCATCTGTGATGTTTTGCTGTCTGTATTCTTAGTGTGTTTGCAAGTGGATGATGAAATGTGCAATTTAGAATGTGATTTGTAGGTCATTATTCAGGGATGGTTCCCACTGAGTCCCTGGGACTTAGTTGGATGATTATGTTAACTCTTCTGTTGTGCTGCATGGTCCAAGAAGTGCAGAGCTTGTGTGGAAGGTGTTCTTCAGAGTCGTGAACCCCAGGTTCTCTAGTCTAATAATTTAAGGTCCATTACTTTAGATTGCTGAAAGAAAACAAAATCAATTGGGATTAGGACTTTTTAGCTTGAATTCTACAGGTCACTTTTTTGGTATGGTGTTTTAAGGTCGTACTTGAAGTGGAGGGGGGAAAATTGTAGGGCAGCTTTTCAAATCTGTATTGAAAGGCTTGAAAATTAGATTTTTTTCTTCTGTGTTACTCAAGTTTTCAGACTTTTTCTGCATTTTATTAACAAGTATTTATGAAGTTTGGTAAATGTAGGTTGCACTCCTTACCTTTATGTAAAATCAAGCTTTACTTGCAAATACTATGCAGCTTCCTGGCTTATGAGATAGATTTGCCGTTGAAGTGCTGTTGGGTACAATCTAAGCTGTTCTAAAAACAAATAAAGAAAAGTTGCTCCTCACGAGCATTTTTATGAGCCCTGGAGATTAAGATCTTTGGCACAAATGAGTGAACTGCACCCAGAAAAATGATGAAGTTTGTGTGAGTTCAAAAACCCCAAACCCCAGAAAATTTAGGTGGCTGGGAGGCTGTCACTGCGCAGCTTTCAGGAGGGATGCTTTAGGAAACACTGACTAGCATGGTGTGCCAGTCAGCAGAAACTACTTGGCTGAAAAAGGCCATGTAGCTGCTGTCACTGTTCTTTGTTAATGTGATCAGCATTCCCCTTAAAGAAAAGAATCACGGAGACTAAATTAATGTGCTTAGTGTACTGCATAGAAATACACTGGACAAATGAGCTCCTATACAATCTAGCTCCACTGGCATACATCAGTAATGTGTAGACCGCACGTAGTCTGATTGCTAACATAGTTACTGTAACTACGGTGATTATCGAGACCTGTGTATGTCTGTATTGATCTAACTTAATAGGGGGCTGCTGGAAAAACAACCAGGAATGAATATTAGCAAACCCAGCTGTGTGATCTCTGGTTCAAGGCTTTTTAGGTAATTTGAAAGATGGGGAGAAGTTACTCTTTTTGAGCATTAAATGGAGCATGACCAGCAAGTCCAGGGGGGTGATTCTTCCCTTCTACTCTGCTCTTGTGAGACCCCACCTAGAGTACTGTGTCCAGCTCTGGAGGCATCAGCATAAGAAGGATGTGAACCTGTTGGAGTAGGTCCAGAGAAGGGCCACAAAGATGATCAGAGGGCTGGAGCATCTCTCCTATGAGGAAAGGCTGAAAGAGGTGGGCTCGTACAGCCTGGAGAAGAGAAGACTCCTTAGGAGACCTTAGAGCAGCCTTCCAGTACCTAAAGGGGGCCTACAAAAAGTCTGGAGAGGAACTTCTACAAGGCTATGTAGTGACAGGACAAGGGGGAATGGCTTTAAATTGAAAGAGGGAAATTTAGATTAGCTATTAGGAAGCAATTCTTTACTGTGAGGGTGGTGAGACACTGGCACAGGCTGTCCAGAGAAACTGTGGCTACCCCATCCCTGGCAGTGTTCAAGGCGAAGCTGGACAGGGCTTGGAGCAACCTGGTCTAGTTGAAGATGTCCCTGCTTATTGTAGGGGGGGTGAAGTAGATGACCTTATAAGGTCTCTTCCTACCCAAACTTTTCTATGATTCTATGATTTTGAAGGCTTCCCCCCAGATGCACTACAAAGCTAACTGTGTCTTCCCAAGGGTCTAAAGACCTCGAGAACACTTGACTGTTTAAAAAGAGCCGTCTTAGGAGGGAGAGCCAGAGCCAGTTTTCAGGCTGCAGCTTCAAAGAAACACAGAGATATCCCATGAGAGGGTGTTTGGAGGAAGCGGCTTTCACACATTCCAGGGGACAGTCATTCAGGGAGAGTGTAATAGACTCTTGTTATTAAAACTTCTTTTCAGAGCTTTATTTCTAAGTAACTATTATTTCATTAAAGAATATTAGGCTTAAGGTTAAGAAAGAATATCATAGGCCCTAAGGAGAGCAGAACTAGATCTCAGCCAAAGCTTTGTCTGGAAAGAGGACCAGTTCATCACAGCCTGTTTTGAAAGTGAGTACAATTCTCATTGTCAATATCACTTTGTATTTAATAGAGTCTTGAGTGATGCTGTGCAATACGTACTGTATTTGCAGAGAGTAAGAGAAGGCAGGCGTATGTGTAGCCTCTTAAGAGAAATGTGAAACAGGAGGAATCCATCTTACAAAGTTCTGGAACCAGAACAGTCAGTATGAAAAAAAGACATTAGATACTTAAATGGATGCTAAGCGCTTCCAGAAATATGGTAGTTAAATATTTAAGTGTGTGTGAAGGCTGGGGTAAGAGCAGGATTTGGAACAGAGCAAGTGTTTGTGCTTCAGAGGATAAACAAACCTCTTACTCGGGATAAGTGGAAATTTTCTCCAGTGGCTGAAACACCTCGTGCCAGACTATTTTTTTGAAGTTCTCTTTACGAAGCCTCCTATTCTGATTGTTTTCTGATATCATGAAGTAGTTTACCAGACAAGATACATATTTTCTTTTTTAACTTTTTCCCCATTTGCCATTTCAGAAGATAGATAAGGACATACTGTGTGGCACTGTTTTCAAAATGGGGTTTGGATTTTTTTTAAAGCATTTTTGTGCCTGATAGTCTTTTCAAAATTGCATTATGGTCTTACCTCAATCTGGTATTTAGTAGATAATTAAAAACTAGCTGGAAGTACTAGAAGCAGTGTTTTCACCTACTTCAATGCAGCCAGCAGCAGTTCAAATTGTCTGGCTCTAATGTTTATAACTTTCATGGTTTGATTGAAGGAATTGCCAGAAAAGCTTGGGAGGTTGGAATTCTCTGGACTTCTCATGGAGTTTGGGTTTCTTAATTCAGTTTAATTTAAAAGTATCGTTCAAAATTAAATTTCTAAATTGCATCTGATCTCTTGAGCTGTGGCAAATGTAGAAATCGGTGACATCATTGAGTTTTGCCTTTTTGGCTCTGTGGTCATTAGTAGTCTAGCCATGGAGATGGTAACAAAGTTGGAATTATTCATACTTGGGGGGGGGGAGGGGTGTCATTTTGTAAATAAAGATAAAATGTGGTTTTCTTATTTTTATGGGTAAGTTGAGACTTAAATCTAGGGGTTGAGTCAAATAAAAAGTCCAGAGATGAGCTGTAATTCAGAATCTCCGGTTCTTGTGAATGTCTCATATCTTTTCCACTTGTCCACTGCAAGTCAAAACACATCTGAAAATTGTTTGGAGGCTGTTATTTGGTTGTGGGGTTTTGTACTATACATGGCATTTTATGCAAAGCCAGTTCCTCCATATGTGTTTAATCCTGTGCCTTGTGAGGAATATGAGTTAAAAGATTGTAAACAAAGATCAAGTCAAAAACCAAAGCTGCTGTGTTCTGACATGATTTTAGTTTGTCATAGTGCATGCAAGGGGGAAACTTGTGTTCCATTCAATGATACACGTGTACAGAAAACCTGTTCTTTGTCTTTGCATATATTAAAGCTCTTGTTTTATTTGGCACAATTAATACATTTTAAAGTAAGTTTTCCCCTGTCTAGACCTATACAAGTGCTGAAGAAGATTGTTTTGCTTCTTCAAATGGAGCATGACTCATCATCATATTTGTATTCTACTATCCTATTTTACAGGACAATCTACCATTTTTAGAAACAGCCATCTTTGTCTTGTCTTTGGACATCTGTGTTTAATGAAGTCAAAGCAGTTAAAAAGCTATTTCTTCATTATTTTTGTGCTCTTGATTGCGTACTTCTGTTGATTCTGACATGCTTAACACATTGTGTATACTTCTTTTTTTTTTTTTTTTTTTTTTGACACAAGCATTTCCTGTATCCTACTTAATTTCCTGTTTGTATCTTAAACCCAGTGACTGGACCAGGTAAGCTGTTGAGGTTCAGGAAGGGAAACTTGTGTAGCTCTAGGTGTTCATTTCTTGTCCAGAAATAAGCTGGAAGTACTCATTTTGAAAGATCCAAGCCTAAAACTCTTTTGGCAGCAATACAAAATGCCTCCTTTTGTGTGCTTTCCCTTGCATCCCATCTGCTTCTCACACCCCATGTCCTTTGCGTTGCCTAGTTTTGTACTGGTTTCTAACACTCGGTGCCAGGCTAATCTTCCTTCAGGTGGCATTTGTGGCATACTATATATACAGGACCATAGGCGAGTGTTTTGGCTGATTGAAACCTCAACATCTCATCTTACTAGGTAGTATAACTGGTCCAGGACCTTTCTAGATCATCTCTATCTATCCTTTTTTCCACATGGACTTAACTTCCAGTGACTTAAAAACAGTAACTGTTATTTACGCTATTCTAGTCCTGAGTAATAGTGTCAGCAGGAGGTCTCCTAACATGCAGACCACCTAGGGCATATGTAAGTTGATCTACCCTCAAGCCCTCAGGGAGTAGCAATGCTACTCAACAGAGAAGCAATGCTTCCCAGCAGCTGCAGATGTCTTGAAAAATAATGCATTCCTATACTGTATAGTATAATGTACTGGGTTTCAGTCATCTTTAGACTTCACTGGGGATGTATAAGCGAGAAGTTGGAAAACACCATTCTTCTTAATCTCTCTTTCTGATGCTTGGTGAGAGCAGTGTGATATTCATTTCCATTGTGCACGTTTCTGAACTAGTTTTCATGTTACTAGGTGTACCTGGGGTATGAAGCCAAACTGTGTAACGGCTGCAAGGTCTGTTTGTGAACAGATGTTCTGTGTTGGCAACCTGAACCAGGGCAACCATTTCTCAACTGAAACAATGGCCATGCAGTCTGCATCTGTATGTTGTTTGCAGTATTCAGTTTGAATACTGGCAGTGGAAGATGAAAATATACAATGCAATAAGGTGCTATTTAACAAGAGAACAGAAATAAATGGTGTTTGGTTTGTATTTGTGACCTACAGCCTGGTAGTGTCACAGTGCAGTAGGTGAGGGTTGATTAGATTTCACATAACTATCTTCTTGGTGATTGCTATATTTGCTACCTGTACTTTTAAATTGCTTCAACTTTGTTTCTTCTAGGAAAAACAAAATGAAGGAACTGGTGTCAAACAGTACAACCAGTATATCTCAAGCCAGGAAAGCTGTGGAGCAATTAAAAATGGAAGCATACATGGATAGGATGAAGGTAAACTTAGACTTATCATTGACGTTTTGCATTTACTCACTAGTTTGTGGTACATCTTCCCTTTAATATCGCAGAAGGACTCAATCATCTGAAATTAAAAATCTGTGTTGAACTATAAACCAATATTCAATACTGTGAATTAGTTACATACTAATTGCTTGCTTCTCACAAAGTGATTTCCAGGGCCTGGCTTCTAGTCTGCTTCTGTATGAGTGCTTTTTACATCTGTCAAAAATGATATTGTGAAATATTTAAGATCAGTTGGCAAGCACAGGTGCTTGTCTTTGTCATCTGTGTCTGAATGCTAGTGTTTCAGGTTTCTTAGTTCTTCTTTAAGAACTGGAGTAATTCTTTAAGCTATTGCAGTATTTTTTAATAATGAGACAACCTGAATTGCTGTGCTTTGTTTGATTCAGCAAAGCTGTCATTGCACAAAAAATATGTATGATTGCAATGTTCAATTATGATTCTTCACACTGTTGTGTGAGGATTTGATTTTATCATGCCTCTAAATGTATGCGGATTAAATATTGTAACTAAAGGCACTATTAAACAGAGGTTCTCAACATTTTTAATCCGAAAAGCCTGTGAATTATTCTTGCCTATCATTCTGCTTTCCACTAGCCTAAAGTTTTGTGAATAAATCAAGCACCTAAAACCTAAGTATGTCATGGAAAGTTTTAAGAGTGCAACACTCATCTCTTGCGTGCGCTTCCACTATCTCTGAAAATGGGGAATAATTATTTGGATGAAAAGTCCTCACAAGTAAGAAGAGTTTAGAGATGGAAAGACTACAGAAGAATGAATGCATATAAGTAATCAGGTTTTCTGCAGATAACTGAGTTGTTACAAACTGTAACTGTTTTCAACTGAGGTTACAAACTGAAGACAGCTTAGAAATATTGGACATTAAATTCTTCATGTACTCTTAACTCATGTCCATCTGTCCTGTGTGCTGAAATTCTGCATGCAGTCAGCATGAAGGCGATAGTATGTAATTATTATTTTAAAATAGTATCAGATCATAAACTCATTCATTAGAAATATTGTATTTATAATTCAGAAATATTAGTGCAATTCACATTAGCAGTCATCTTGCTTATATGAAAATAGACATTTTGGTTGCTCCATTTTGTTGCAGTTTTTAGCAATGTCTTGTAAGTCCATTGAATTTGCAGATCTGTAGTTTCTGTCTTGTATAGTGTCTCGACAAATTGATCGTGTAATAGATACCTGTTCACAGGGACAGATATTTCTATTTCCTTCAATAAGGGAAGGTATGCCTTTTCAGTGTTCAGTGGGGTTAGTCCCCTGATTCAGGTCACATGCAGCTGCACAATTGACAAGAAGGAATAGATGTGGGTGAGTGGCAGAGGAAAGGGTTGTGAAAATATGGCTCAGTTTATTGGAACTTGAAAGTGATGATACTTAGTAGATTGTCTTAAACTTGCTTTTATCTAATCAGGAGTAACTTTCACATAGCACGTCATTAGCTCAGTTATGCAGATAGCTTCATTAGTTACATGTATAATGTTCTTAACTGCATATGTAAGAAAGACACAGGTTATTCTTACAGGTAGTTTAATTAAAAAGCCACAATTATTAGCAAGTGTGGTAGACCTAAAAACCAGATATGTTGAAAGTACAATTGGTTCACCTTTCAATACAGCATGGGTCCAAAAAGGTACTAAAGAAAATATGATGAGTTTCAGTATTCTGAGAGTGCCTATACTGTCATAAACAAAGTACAATTTGCAGAATGTTTATGTCTTGTGTCCTAGAATTTCTTTGAACAAGTATATGAGGGTTTGTAACAAGGGGTTGGTTGGCTTTTTATTCCCTCAAGATCTGTTTTTCTTTTTTGATCTTGAAACAGTTAAGTGTGTGTTTCAGTACAGCCAAATTTTACCAGGAGACTTTCCAGTAGTTTCAACAGGAGATTTTCAGTTCTTGGATCATAACTGTAAAGTGAGAGAAACAAACATTAATTCCTTTTTTCTGCTGTCATGCATCTGCTTAAACTAGTTAGACATATAACAAAAGATCAGTGTTTTCCAAATAATTTAATTAAACACTGTTTTGCAAGTAGCTATGGCTAAGTGGTTATTCCCATAATAGACAAGACCACATTGTTAGCATTAAAAAGGTGCCTGTATTATCGACTGGGGAAATCAAAAGTTCCAGCTTAATTTTTTGCTACACAGGCACTTTGTTTTCCATGCATAGTAGCTGCTGTAACCAGCAAGAATTGGGTCTGCTCAATTAAAATCTTGTAGTTACAAGTATGATGATAGTTGCCCATTCATTCCCCACTGTGTTCTGGATTTTTCATCTGAGTTAAAAATTAAGTCCTATAACAAGTCAGAGCAGCAAGCAGTGCAGTGTTTTGAGGTTCCACAAAGATAGCTTGCTGTTGAGGTGTGAAAGAAACAATTTAAAAGGGGAGAGTGAAGTTACTGATGTATTGATTGGTAGCTGGAAGGTGTATTACTGTGGTGAGTTTTTGAACCTAAGAAACTCAGAACGACTGTAAATTAAACCTGCCTTACTTCACTGCAGGAATGGATAGAATTATAATGGAAAGGTAAGTAGAAAGCAGGAGGTGCAAATTCCAAGCTAGGAAATACCAAATGAAATTGAACAGTGGCCTCATGACTAGTAGGATAATGTTAGTAGTAAAGTTGAGAAAGCAAAGATAATATTGGTGCTTTATCAGAGTTGTCCCCAGAATAAAGCACTATTTGATCTTCTCTTTGCAAGCAGAAAAGCAAGAAGGAGTGCTCTGACATTTAAGAATCTTGGTATATCAGTTATTATTCCATTTTCTTTTTTCTTAAGAAGGTAGAAAATACTCCTAGCTGGTTCTGAATAGTGTTGGGAGATAAGCAATAGAATTGCCAGTAAATTGTGTGTGAATCTCTTTGTTTTAGATGTAAAGGATAAGCAGAGTGGGTGTTATAGCAAGAACGGTAATTAGTCACAATCCATGACAAGACAGATGACATCGTAATTGCAGCATTTTGCCCTGTCATGGAAGCTTATAATTATTAGTGCAGCTAACAGGATTATGTTCTAACTTCGGCTGTTTTTATCACCTCTGTTATTCTGAACTATAATGGTAAAATTCCACAGTCCTCCTGAGACTAATTCTTTGAAGCATCAGGCTTGAGTGTTGTGTTGTGGGGTGGTTTTTTTCTTTTGGCAATTTGACAACCAGATGTATTTTTCACTACACAGAATAAAAATAATAGTATAAAATGTGAGGTCGGTGTGATACCGATATACTCCATCTCCTCTGCCTATGTACTTTAACAGATTAAAAAAATTTAAATGTTAGCTTTCTGTAAGAATTCATCAATCAAACTGGAGTCTGATTTTTTTTATTCAGCCACTTCTGCTATATATATAAATTACTTTGAATCTGCAGACCAAGCTGTATTGCATAAGAGAGCTGAAATGATAAGTGTGCTAGCTTCACTGGAATATTCAAAATACATGTGTTTATTTTAATTCATAATAAAATCTATTCTGAAACTGTGCAGCAGCATTCAGCTACAAATAACCCTAAAGGTGAAGTAAAAGCTGTGATAGAGTGGCCTTCATGTAACTTCCTCCATGACACAAATAGGATGATCAGTACATTATTTTGTACAGTAACAAGCTACTATGTTTGCTGTGAGGCAACCTTTGCATGCTGACATATGCTAACGCAGCCGTCTCTGCTGTAGCCCTAATGTGATGCTCAATGCAGAGGTCTTCCGCCACTCTTGTTTGAAATAATAACACTGAGCAGGAAACTTGCTGGAGGCAACATTGTGTTTACGTTCGGTTTTTTTTTGGCCACAGTTCTGACTTCGCTAACTGTGCTCACAGCCACCCGAACCAATGTTTTCATTGCTCCTGGAATGTGGTCAGCTAACTTAACTCTCCATAGTGAGTGGTCATTATTCCACTGTGCAAACCCGAGCTACTCCACTTTTAGTGAAGAAATGCTTCACTGCTGTAATCCCAATGGGAGGATTTCTCCTCCCAAAGCCTTTTATTTTTTCTTAAAGGATGAAAATACAAGACCTCATACAGGTTTAGTTTGCGGCAATATGCCAAAATGTGATCACGTTCCTCAGTTCCTTGTTGCAGGTTTGTTTTCTACTAAATAATACTATTTAGTAATACTATTTATCAAAGCAAACTAATTTATGATTTAAACACTGTCATATTGAAGAAGCTGCTTGCTCTGCTTCGTGGCTATCCTACCAGCATTAGAGGACAAGTTAGATACAAAATATAATGCTGTGCTTTTGCTAGTGAAAATCCTTTTTATTGTTATATGATGTCAAAGCACAGTAATCTGTAGAGAAACAGAAAATGATACTATTGGGTTTATCTCTTTGAAGACTGAAATTGTACATCTCTTCCATCAAATGAAAAGCAATATGCTCAGGCTGTTGTTGCTTACCCATACATGGGACAAAAAAGGTAGTTATAGGAAGGTTGGTCTGTTGAAGTCCAGTTTTGGTTCTCTGTTCCTATAGGGGTCAGTCTACTTAAAAAGATTGTTGGTTTAGTGCATAAAAGAACTATTTATTAGCTTGTTAATCAAAGATGAAATGTGCTGGGCATCTTAATGACCCCTGTCTCTGGGACTCAGAGAATTAAACTAGCTGTACATTAGGTTTTATGTCACCAGTGTTTTTTATGACATAGCACTGAAAATGTCACAGAACGTTTTTGTGGGCACCTGTGGCTCTGAGCTTGACTTGCTCTGTTTGAATGCAAGAGTTTGGGACCAGCTAATAAATTAATTAGAGCATAGAACTGCCTTCATTTGAGACGTGCAGCTGTGCTTGCAGGACAATAGAAAAGTGAAGATATGTATGCTACGAAAATAGGAATGTATAATGGCAATATGAATCGATTGCCATTACTTGGAAATACTTTCCAAAATGTTGTGGTGGTACATTCCTCCTGGAAACATGCTAACTTCCTCTTCAGTGGATGCATTCTATGCTAGTTTATACCTTGTTGAGGCATAGCATAAATCATTAGCAAAGAAAAGTACGTTTTCTGTCTTTTGATTTTTTGGGGGCTTGATAGGAATTTCATAGTCAGTCTACATTGTGCCTTTCTTTGGAGAATCTGCTTTTTTAAAAATCACAAGTAAATTTTAATGAAAATTGGGACTATGATAGGATTCATAAGTTTTCTATTTGTTCATTACAGTTCTACCTCTCTATTTTAGACAATGCCCTCACACCTTAAGCCTCATTCTTTTGCCTCTGCTTACCAAGCAGCCTTCAGTAGTCTGAAAATAATTACAATCCTTTCTCTGTACTTCAAAGTCCATAATTTTCCACACACTTTTGTCTGACCCGCTTCTCTTCTGAGAAGCACTGGTCCTTCTGAATACCTCTGCACATCAGAGCAAATCAGCTCAGTCTTCTGCTTTGCATTGGCCCAGCAATATGTTGTTCACATGTAGCCTGAACTCTTTGTTTCTTACAAGCCAATTCAAAGGCAAACTAATTTTAAGTAACCAAAACACCCTTGCTTCCTCTGCTAGGAATATCGTCTATACTGGGATGCCAAGCATAGGTACTTTATGGGTTTAAGCATTCTACAAAGGCATGTTTCAGTGGATATTTAAAAAAGAAAAAGTTATTTTGTCCTGGAAGTTAATTTAAATTATGCAAATCCTGACCCAGCACCCTTGACTTCAGATGTCTAATCTTAAGCCTACTACAGGCTGAACTTGCCAAAGCAAGCAGGGTGTGGGGAAGCCAAAGCTAACACACCTGCGAGAAAAATACCAGAAACCTGATTTGTTTTTCCTTTTCACTAGAGTTGTGTGAATGTGCTGACCTTGGGAGAAGCTGTCACGGTGCTCAGAGGAAAGACTTTGTAAAGACTTCCTGTCTCATTTTCTCAACTGTCATAATATTGAAAACACAATAATTAAAGCAAAGAGATACAGGGAGTTGTAAATATTTTACTGACTCAGCAGAGCAAAAATGTTTCATATATATATATTAAATTCTTGAAAAAATGAGTCACAGTAGCCTAATGTCACCAATATTAGGCCACAAAGCTGCAAAGGTTACAAGATTTCAGCTACAGCTGAAATGGTTTAATATTTCATTTTTCATTTTTTTGGAAATTGTCTTGTATGCCAACCCACTGTTACATTTCTGTAGGACTTTTCAGTAAGCATTAACCAACCTGCTGAATTTGGAGATGTTAGAAGTATAAAAAGATTAAGGTAACGCTCAAGTTTAATGCTATGATTAAAATAGTACTTATAATAACTTACTAAACAGAAGACATTAGTCTGACTTCATTGAAAAGAGCAATATTTAGCTTAAATGAGAGCTACGACACATGATGGTCAAGTTTGGTTTCTGATTTCCTCTTTCTTTTTAATCCCATGGTTATGTGCTTAGAGGACTTTTGTTTTGTATCTGGAGGAGCAAAGGGTAGAGAGACTGTTTATGGAAAACCTTACATCCAGTGGCTAGGAATAAGAGCTGAAGCAGGCAACCTCTACAGAAACATAGCTTGAAGGAGAATCCCTGTTGTTTATGGGCCATTAGCATATACGTGTGTCATGGTTTAACACGTTTCAATGAGTGTATGCTTCTGACCTTCCTTCTGAGGGAGGACAGCTGAACGCAAAGCATATAAATTGATACCATCTAATGTCACTATGTTATATAAAATATATGTAAGGATTAGTAAGCCTAGTAAGAGCAAATTCAGAGCTGTGGTCTCTTGTAATTTGAAGGATAAACCGATCTACTTCTATTTTATGATAGCCACTGTTACTGTATGTTATATGAAGAATATTTATGCAATGCGGATTGGTTCAAAATTTTTACAGTAGTTTTCTCTTCTATTAGGTATCCAAGGCTGCAGCAGATTTACTGGCATATTGTGATGCTCATATTGGAGAAGATCCCCTTATTATTCCAGTGCCTGCATCTGAAAATCCCTTCAGGGAGAAGAAACTCTTTTGTACTATCCTCTGAGTGGGTTTTCAATTAAAAATATCTTCTGCTAAAATTTGGTGTCAATGTTGCATGCTTTTAGTTTTAGCACTTTTTTCTTCAGATAACAATACTTAGACTATAACAACACTATTTTTAGAGGGTACTGCATTTTCTGGTTAAAAAAAAAAAATCTGAAGAATTCAAGGTAATCCTTAGCTTTCAGACCAATGGATGACTTGAATTTCAGTTCTTCATATAGATTCTTTTGGTCTTAATGAAAGCATTGAGTACAGTATCAAATTGTAGATGTCTTTGCCAGTCATAGATTTTTCTGAGACCTAAATGAGTCATACCAATTCTTAAGCTATTTTTAACCTTCTTATTTTCTTTGGAAGATGAATTTAATTCATTTGCCTTTACAGATTTCTATCTAAAATGAGTAGCATGACCTTTCCTCAAGTAGCACTATTTAGGAAAAAATCCCAGTGATTTACGATGTTTGGAATGGTCAGTCTTATACAGTAGGTGGTGTTTATAAATGTTTTCTGAAGACTGTAATAAACTTGAGTACAGAAACAATCTTAGTAAAGGAACATTGTAACTACAAGCAAAATGAAGATGTATAGTTACACACTATCAATAAAACTGTAGAAAAACCTGGCTGCTTGTATTTTGAATTATATTGGTTTAAATTGTTCTGCAGCTCTCAGTGGAGGTAGTAAATCTGCCCTGATCGGTACAGGGAGGGGAATTACGTTTTCTAAGCACCTCTCTACATGCTTTTGCCCACAAGAGCAAGACTTTGTGGGAATGGAGAGTAATGGTAAATTAAAGTTGTTCTAGAATGTGCAGCGAGACCACTGCCATTGACACGTAAGTTTGTATATTTTGTAGCCCCAGGTTAGTAATGAGATAAGTTACCAGGAAGTAATTTATGGAGATTCTGAGAGGGTGTTTTTGGTTTGACTTTGCTTAAAGTGCAGTGAGAGGAAATGAACGGGGTATGGAATATGACTGTTCTGCCTTCTTCAGTAAGTAGAATCAAGTCCAATCAAGGCATCTGATGGAAACAACTGTTACATTATAGACTTTTTTTTTTTTTTTTTAATTCTCCTTAAGAAAAGTGAAAGCTCCTTTCTGGTCTGATCGTGAGAGTTCTGTCACTGCAGTGCTTCATATGTACAGTGTGTCAATGTACTGGAAATGTCACTCCTTAGAAAAGCTGGTGGAGACAGCCCTACACCTAAGGCAGGAGATGATTTCACTGGAGAAGAGCACTGGTCTGACTGACCCCAAAGTACACATGCCTGCTCCAAGTTATGTTTAGCAGTTTCCACCAGTATTTGTTGTACTGGTTTGTGCAATGGAAATACAAGAAGTCTGCACTGTACTGGTTTTGTTTTCTTTGCCAATCAACATGAATAATGTGCTGCACCTAGCTGCCAGTCCAGTTACATGAGATGGGTGGCTTTGGACTGTGGTTCTGCAGCCGGACAGCTCACCCACCATGTGTGTCTAACGTGGAACCTCCATGTCAATTCTTGGAGTGGTATTGTGGGATAAATGATACTCCTTCTAACCAATAGGCTTGTGGGTTGTCTTTCATTTAGAGGTTTGGGTTTTAATTTGGCAGCTGAAGACATCAGTAGTCAAGTACACACAGGACTACTTCACAGTGCTCTGAAAAACATTCAGATCTCTTGGACAGGTCCTGGCTTGGTTTAGCCTTGGTTCCTATTTTAAAGTTTTCAGTTTAAGATTCTTATTCCTAACTTTTAATGAGAATATTTCTTAATGTTCAGCTTTTTGCGGGGGCTGGAGAAATAGGCTTTAGCTAACTGAGTAGCGGCTTTATTGACAGTGAAATAAAAATGGCTTTCTGAAAATATTTGTTAAAAAGGAGCAACAAAATGCTTAATAAGGTTCTTCAGGGAATCCTTCCTACACTGTATGTGATTTGGTAAGGGCTCTGATCACCATGGCAACGTTTCCATTTGTCCTTCTGCATGTATGGTTTTAACTGGAACAGCATGGGAGGGGAATATAGGGCATACAGCTTTATTCTCAAAGGCTTTGTAACAACTTGCATTTGTGGCTCATCATTAACATTCCCATCTAAAATAACAAAATTGCCACAGCTTATTACAGTACCTCAAACAGCTTGCTTTCTGTTTCCAATTAGCATTAGCATCGAGCTCCTGAGATTGAAACATTTCACAGTAGTTCTGAGCAGTGCTAGCTACAAGAGCTGCATTTACAAAATTCCTGTATTATTATTCACAAGAGGGGAATGTCATTGGTTTGGACTTAACATTTTCTCCAAGATTACTCTTCAAGTAGTTGTGAATGTGTTGGACTTCTTATGTTTCTAATAGCCAGTTCCCATGTTTGTGGTTTTTTTCATCAGTTCAAAGCTTTGATCAGGTAAAACATTTTGTATCTGTTAAGATGTTTTTGTGTTTCTAATTTTAAGAAAGGAAACACATAGAATAGCATAAACTGCATATTTATTTTACCAGATGTCTATAATGTACCTGAAGAGGTTAAACCATGGAAGCTTAGCTCCTTAGTGGAAAGCAGGACAGATTGCTCTACTATCATCAGGCCTTACCTACCAGTTCCTTGAATGAAGATCTGCTGCTGGTGGGGGGGCACTCCTGGAAGATCAACAGTTCAAAATAATTGTAACAGCTTTGCGCCACATTGAACATGTGGCTTTATTCAGTAACACCATCAAAATCCTGACTCTCTGAAGAGAATGGTGCCATTTGGGGTTTTTTATGACAGCCAGATCCACAAAAGAACATTAAAATTAATGTCTTCTCCCTCAGTTCCTCCAAACTATAAAATGTCTTTGTCATTATTATATTTTTTGCTGCTTTAACCTTTGAGGTGGTTTAGATTAATCTGCTGTTGATGGTTGAGTTTCGTGCTCAAACATCTTCCCTCAATCTCTACACAATACCTGAGGATTCTTGGACATTTTTCTAAAACTGAATACGTATATTATGAAGTATAGCATGATTTTAAAAACCAGTGCGCTCTGAAATGGCTTTGTCTGACAAGTTTGCTGTAGGCTGAAGCAGTGAGGTTTTATCTTCATCAGACGGTCTGATTTGATTCCCACTAACATCACGACTAGGCCTGTCACCGTCCTGGTGTCATACTCTCTGTTTTGTTTCATATGCCATTAGGTTTGTCGCTTTGTATTTCAGGCCTGGAAAATAACACATGTTCCTTGTTAGCAATGCGAGCTGGGGCTGTCATCTCAGAGAATGAGAACTTCAGAACAGAAGCTGGATTCCAAGAGTTTTTGCCATATTATTACCAATACTTTGTTCATATGCCCTTGTTTGCTGCTCTGATAAAATAAGACTTCCCAGTGATGGATTAACGGTAAATGCTAAAGTGTCAGTAGCGCTTGTGGTGCTGGCTGTTTTGCATTCCTCAGATTAATCTCCTTGGTTTACCTTGAATGTTAAATATTATCATTTCCATATTAAAAACTATTTCCCTTCTCTCTGTTAGGTACTAAATTCCTCTTATTTGCTTCCTGAACCGCATATTAAATTAGTAGCAGAGTGTTTGGCTATTGCTGATTGATAGGCAAGATTTTAAAGCTAGTCTCTACAAATTTATGGTTGAAGGAGGGGAAAAAAATGGAAGTTAGTTTAAATTAAGCTATTCTAGGTCACACTGTAGAGTAAAATAAATACAAACTTTGCTGTTGGTGACACAAAGGTAAACAGAGGAGCTGTTGCCAACTGATTGCGAAGGACATCATAACAAAGCATTTTTGTAGAGACTTACAATACGATCAGCTCCAGCAGAAGGAAAGAACACTTTTAAGAGTAATGGTCTGTAAAGGTGTATTTTAAAGCCTGGAACTTGGATATGCTACTCATTTATCTAGCTGGATATCTGACACCAAAGGAGTAGCAAAAGATGTACTTTGGGAGGACCTGATTATATAGTTTAGCCTGTCTCATTGTCTTCACTGTACAGGGGCAAAAATCTCCGTATGTGATTCTCTTAGAAAATAACTGTAGTTACAAGCTCTCCTTTGGGTCTGCATCAGGATCTAGATTTGTTTCTTCAAGGAGACTTAAGAAAACTTGGGGGAGGAGTGGTTCCTAAGAAACAGACACTTCTTGTACCAAAAGCTAATAATACTTAAAGTCATTAGACTGACTTAAATGGTACTGTGATGTGTGAAAAATAGTGGGCAAAATTACCAGCATAAGTGCTATATAAAATGTTACACCTGCATATTTAATCTTTTGGGAGAATATTTGGAATAAATATTGTACATTTGCATCTAATTGAATTCAGTTTTATGGCACTATCAAATTAAGTACAGCCATAAATACCAGAACTGGTATGGGAGCAACTTTTCTGTCTGTTAGAGGAAGATGTACGTCTGAGTTTGTCAAGTGTATTTACACCACTCACGCTTGTGAACAAACAAAACGAGCAGCTTTACCCTAAAATAGGGTCTTTTCTTTCCCACATGTCTGTTACAAGTAGAAATTGCACAGGATCATCTGTTACTGCCACCTACTGATAAAGTCATAAACAGAAAAAAGTACCAGCATCAGCTAGAAATGACCTCAAAGGGGGATGCTCAGCTAATATACATACTCTCAGGAAGAGCAAGCCGGCACTTCTGTTTCGATGTGTTGTGTAAGGTGTCGCCTGTCATTCTGGTACTGCTGGGATGTGGTTCAACCTCACGCTTCAGCTCCGGATGTCTCAGTTTACAGGAAGATGAAAGTCAAATGCATGATTTGTTTGAACAGGTCATGTGTCTAGCTAAAAACCACTTTAAAAGTTGTGGAAAGCTTTGGGCGGGTGTATCAGTTGCCGTTGCTCTGAACTCCCTTCCTGAATTTCATTTTCCAGTTTGACATGTAAGTTGGACGCCTGTTCCTCATTGACAGCATTCTGCCACTTGTGCCATCACTTACACTTCTGCCTTTTGCTGCCCTGAGCCAGTCATGTGAATGCAAAGGACAGTAAAGCCTGTGGCCAAGTGGGCCCCCAGCGCAGCCAGCCCCTAATAATTTCTCCTGTTTGCCCTCCTCATTGCAGAACTGTAAAACAGCTTTCATGTGACTGACTAGCTGAGCTACTCCTTCACACTCAAACTTTGCTCCTGGCTGCTGGAGGGTTTTATTTTTTCATTGTGTGCCATGGCATAAGTGCACAGCCAGAACAGAGCTTAGGCCACTGCCTATGTTTAGAATAGGACTTAATGTACTAGGCATGGCATAAGGGTTTCAAAAGACCACCCAATCCACAAAACCCATTTGTTGCATAGCCTCTCACTGTATCGTATCCTGTTGTGCCTTTGAACTTCAGGCTGCATACTTGAGCCCTTCATTCTTTCTACAGCATGCTCTAAAGAGATGCATATTTTTTTTCAGTGAAAGGAAGGGAAGAGCCAAACTTACAGGAAAGAACCACTGTGACTTTTCAAAACCCTTCAAGCAGTAGTGACTTTAAAGATCTTTACAGTGAACAGCCTCTCTCTGGCAAACGAGGCTCATGTGACTTTTGGCTCTAAAATTATCTTCAACTTTCTTATTGCGAAGACTGTTCACTACCATGGTTCTTGCACTGATTCTTATCTGAGAGGTTTTCCCCTGGAGACCACGCTGGCTTTTATCCTGCTCATCAGAACACAACACACAGATTTCCAATATATATATATATATATCTGCAGTGCAGATATGAATACGTTAGTCATATCCTTAAAAGATCAAGTGAATAAACTTCAAATGCTAAGATTCTCATGAAAAAATACCTCAACAGAACCTTTGAGAATATAAAGAATGTTACAGATAATAGCCCCTCTGAGGCCTTTTCTCCTTTCTCAGGCAGCACGTGAATGTTTTGTTCTTGGAGTTTGCTTCTGACTCTGGAAAATAACTATAGAGAGCAACTATGAAATATCTATTCAGGAGAAATCAGAAGGCCAAAAGACAGATTGTATTTCTTCACAGTTCTGCTCATACCACTAACCTAATACTTGCAATAAGGATGTGAACACATTTGAGGATATTTAAACAGAATCTGAATAAATGAAAAAATACATTAAAAAATCATTAAAGAAGCTAAGTTAAGCATGCATTTAAGAAATGTCAGTTAAATTTGCTCATGCATCTTTCGTTTGTCTCTCTCATTTGTATGCACTACTGTCCCAGATTGCCATTGCAGGAATTCCCACAAGGCACAGTATAGGCAATGCTCAGTTAATGAGCAGTTACTCGATACTATTTTGGTGTCTTTATTCATCGTGTAGCCCCGGGCGTGATTTACTCACAAATTCTGTTTTCAATGTAGAACTATTCCCTGATGAGCTTCTCTGTGGTGCTCACCACAGATTGCTTCACAAAGTATCACCACATCATCCTGGAGGAATGCGAGGGTGGAACTATTCCCATTTTACAGTGGGAAGCTGAGGCAGAGCTTCAACAGGACGGGTGAGGTTGTCAGTACCTGCCTCTTCAGAGTAGTTAGCTCTTTCAGCATCTCAAACAATATTCCCATTTGCCCAAGCTTCCGCTATGAATTCTCAGCTCTACAACCTGGAATGACTTTTGCAAGTCAAACACCCAGAATCTATGGGAAAAAGCAATGGGAAATGTTTAGTTTCATGATTTTCCTGGTATCACACAGAGGCCATGACAGAGCCCAGGTCTCCCAAGCAGAAATTACCTTTAGCCTTGTGACACAATTTCACAATCTCATCTCTTTCACCTGGTGCATTCTCCAGTGGAGCACGTCCATCCTAAAGCAGGGTAAGGACCACAAAGGGAAAATAGCTCCAAGTCATGTACATTTTTTTAGATGAGATATAGCCTGAATATTATTTATCAAGTGATCGATAATAATGAAATGATAAACAATATGTGGCCAATCTGCTGTGAAATCCACCCAACAGCTTAACTCTTTACCAAGCATGTGATTAAACAGTGTATTTGCTCAGTCGCAGGTCTCAGCAGGAGTTCCTATAAAGCTTATTCTTTTCTGTACCCACATCCTAAATCTTTGTGACACTTGTTAAGAATAGCTGCAAATGAGCTGCACAAGAATTATCTAACCCCAACAGCTGGCTGTTGCCTGATTACTGGATATTTAGTGTTGTTCCATACTTCTGCAAGACATTCGCCTGTTTGCGCTCTGAGATGTGCCTGTCAAGATTTAGCTGCTACCATACAGGTGGGTTTGAGCCCATTTCTATTTTTGATTGTCATGAACAGGACAATCAGTCAGCTAAGAGTGAAATTTATTATTGCTGTAGTTGTATGTTTGGATAACTGTGGTGTCCTGCAAGCTGATTTTGTATGGTGGTTATCAATTCCCATGCAGGTTACGCTGGGTCTGATTAAAACAATTAAAATCCAGCTGAGCAACACCTTCTTTCCAGAAGATAGCAAAGATATTCTAATTTACTCCTGTCTAGAATAAGGGATGGTGACTTGGTCGTCCAGCTCAAGTGATCACTTTGAGAGAAGACATGAAACTTGAAGCTCTACCTTTCCGTAAAGGTGAGTGGAGGAAAGTTGGATTGGCTTTGTCTGAATATGATGCCAGAGTTGTTTTTGTTGCTAAATTCTTGCAATGCCAGTGAAAGGAAGCTGTCAGCCCTGAACTGATCAGGCAGCTGGACTAGATGACCATTGTATGTCCTTTCCAACTGAAATGATTCTATCCTATCTTTTCAGAAATTATTAAATTATTTTAGCTGGAACTTCCCAAAGGTGAAACAGGTCATTGTCAATGCAGCCCTCAGCCCTCAGAGCTAAATAGCTTCAAGAGTCCATTCTTCAACTGGGAAGCACTGGGCAGCCTTAAGAAAAACCAAAACCAAATGAAACCAAAACCAAAAAAAAACCTAAAACCCCCAAACAAACAACAAAATCAGTGCCACCTATGACACCCTACAGTTCTCTTGGTTCAGAGTTTCTTGCAGATCCCAGCTACAGCCTATTTTAAGATCAGCTGGTATGAAGGCATTGCAAGATTAAGTTCCATTGCAACCATGCCTTGAAGCAGTTGACCACTATGATGGAAAGAGTCAAATCAATGTGGTTTCTGTAAAAGAAATATTGCCTTCTTGACCTTTTTCATTTCTTGAATCTCTTAATAAAGGAGAACATAAAGTAGAATTGGTAGTCATACCATATCTGGACTTTTTTACAAGTGACTAGTACGTGTCCCTTAAGAGACCATTAAGGAAGATAGCTGTGGGCAAAATCTTGTTAGGTTATTGCCTCCATTCAGTGTATAAATGAGCAGAGGCCTCATGCTACACTAGCTGCATGCTTCCTGCTACCCAAAGCTGTCTAATAGGCATCTCTTCATGCCTGTCCATCACAGTCCTTAGCACTGGCAGGTCACATACCATTGACTTCTTTTTGCTGCTGTTAATGATATGAGTTGGCAGGCCCGTCAGCAAGACAGCCTGTCTTCCAGAGATCAGTTGTCACAGGATTCCTTTGTCTGTCCTCAGGAGACCCCAGCAACACTGACTACATTAACAGCCCAAGCCGGGGAGTCTGGGAACTCCTCTGCATCTGCTCTTCATTGGATTGGAAAGACAAATGGGAAGGCAGGGAGACATCTCTTCTGTTTGGGAAAATAAGCAAAACCTATTTATTCTAAAGAGCCTAAGGAAGATAGGGAAAGGGTTGATAATTCCTCAACACAGACAGTGAATCATTTTAGGTTATGACACTGGACAAGAAAAGACACACTCTTGGGATACAAATTTACAAGCCTTTAATAAAATCCCTTGTACCACGATCTGTAATCTGTTTGTTTGGTTTTTTTTTCTTTAAATAACTGAATACACAGTGATTTTGTAAAATGTAGTATCTCGGTATTACTGCAAGGTGTGGAGAAAGTTAAGCCCCAGGTCCCTAAAATGGAATCTATCACCAGTCCTTCCTCTGCTTTCAGATGGAGCACACAGAGATCAATAAACCACACAACTCCCTGGGGATGAACTCTGCTAAACACATGCAGCTCTACCCTGCTTCTTGCTCTTCTCATCTGCTGCTGGTGTCCTAAAAACATCCCCATCACCCACTCAGGCCAATAGCTGGGCAAACACTGAAAAACTAAATGCTATGAACTGGCTAGCTGTGGTACCTAACTGCAGCTTCAGTGTCCATCATGTCCTCTCCATGTCAGAGAGGAGATGCTTATCCAGAGACATTATGTAAATTTAACAGAAGCATCTTGAGTTTGCAAGAAGCCTGGGGACTAAAATTTGTGTCTTTTCTATCTCCAGCTCTTGCGCCTAACATGTTGTGCCTGTACTATACTTTGTGTGCCAGAGGTACCACCTGAGTCTGTAATGTCAGAAGAGTAAATCTGCTCAGAAATCTGGTGTACTTTTGAACAAATGTTACCTAGAATTGGCATAACCCAAATAAATTTTTTTTGTCTTCCAGGAAAACAATTTAACATTACCTAGAATTTATATTCCAGGTTCATATGCCTTTATATAGTATATATTCATGATTCTCAAATCTCTGGAAAAATCCCATTTTCATATGGGCCACGACTTTTCAAAAAGTATGTCTGAAACTCAGTGCCTTGAATCCATGTTCAGACACTCTGATATCAGCTTGGCTCCCCAAAACACTAGTCCTCATTAAAGCACTCAAGAATGCAAACTGAAACTGCTTTGCTAATGGGAACTTCTGAAAACTGGGTTAATGGTTGGGTCTGAGCATCTACAATTTATACATAGGTGTACATAGATGACACTTCCAGTGTCGTACACTAATGAGAAGTATCACTGCTTGCATCTTCTACAGATGATGAAGCTGGGAGGCTTACGTTAAATCTTTGGCTTTAAAAATCTTGCAGAGAAAGTGATAGAAAATGGGGTAGGAAAGGCCAGCACTCTACAAGTAAACTGTATTTTTAACCATTTCCTGCATGACTAACAAAATGCATATATATATACACATATATATATATATATAAAAATAATCTTTTTGACAAGGATACCCTGTTTCTGTACTGTGGAGAAACAGGTTTCTCCTGTTCTGCACAATATATAGTCCTTTATCCATAAGCATGGTAGGTAATACCATAGAGAAAGCAAGATATTAAGGATTTGGTTCCTCCATTTCTTCTGCAAGGAAGTAATGCCTGCCAGACATGTTTATAAGATTGATCCCCATCTGTTCACCTGGCCTGTGGTAAGGCTTGGGAAGCAAACAACATACTGACTACAAGGAATACAGGCAAATACAGAGTAATATTAGCTGTTGGACCAGGTTTTATTTCTGAAGCTGAACCTGCTGAAAGGCAAGAAAATGTAAATAGTGGAGAATAAAAACAGCACTTCTTGTGTAAATGGTACTATTCTTTGCTACCAAGTACACACCCAGTTCTCTTTCATGGACACCCCCTTGTCCTGGAGAAAGAGCTTGCGTGCCCTTGTGAGGTTGGGAGCTATGCTGGTGGTGCCATATGCCTCCAGTAGGGTCTCCCATGCCAGACAGGTCTCAACTGAAGAGTCAGACAAAGTGTGTCCATGGGCTCACTAGCCTTCGGGCAACCATCCTAGGCGAAGGACAACTCTAACTTCAAACCTGGGCAGACGGAGCTCGTCTAGCCTTGTAAGGGCATCCATCTAAGAGAAGGATACTCTAATCAAACCTATGACCTGAGGACTTTGCTGTCACCATTCAAGCTCGCTAGGCCCTGGCAGATAAACCTCAGATGTAAAGGTCAGTTCAACACATGCTGTGCCTCACCTGAAAAATCCACTGCGCAGGCCCGGAGGGTTTACTCATGCTTGCAAAGCCCTGTAGCGACAGGCGAGGGACAAAACGGCAGGTGATAAGGTGCACTGGAAGCTGCAGACCCAACCCAGCATGCAGGCGGTTCAGGACATTGGTCACTCCATAGCGCCATTGTCTCCTTTGAGAACTCACGCAGAATTAGTCTTGAGGAGAAAAGACAACGTAGGAAGAATCGTGCCTCGCCTATACCACCTAGAGGAGACCTTTCACTGTGCTTTTTGCAACCAGATTTGCCTATCCCACATTGGCCTTTTTAGTCCTCAGCGCGCTTGTAGTAAGCATGGGTAAAGCCCTTCCCAAATCTTCATTCGCGAAGTCAAGCCATGATGATGATGACACACCCAGTTGCATATTAAATATGCGTAAGTATGTAAACTAAAGTTGATGTATTTCCAACACATTCTCCTTTTGCTGTTTAAACCCAATATATAAAGGTTAAAGTCATCAGTTGATGAAAAATTAATCTTAATTAAGCTGTTTGAGAGGACTTCAGGCATTTTCCAAAGACTTCTTATGACTTGGGGATTTAAAAAAACAGATTTTAGTCTTCTTTTCATAAAACCTCAATCCTTTCTTTCAATTATACTTCATACATATCAGGTTTGATTATTAAATTATGTGTTCCTGATAGAAGACCATCAACAAGCATTTGTTTAAGCCTTGCAGCTGTTACATATAAACTTCTAATTTATACATTAAGTTCTGAGAAGCCTCTGCTTATTTATCCACATAACTCTTTCAGGTAGATCCACCCTACAGGAGTCCAAGGAAACATTTCTCTTTGCATCTGTGCTCAGAGGGACCAGAGGCAAGTAACTTCCCAAGGTGCTAAGTTTATGCTCTCCTCCACCCAATCCTATTTAAACCTCTTCAGTCAGTATGGTGTTCTGCAGTCCGTAGCTACCCAGCTTCTCAAAGTGGTGGCTGTCAGTATATGTGAAACCTAGCTTGGATAATTAGCATCTTGTACTTCTGCAACAAGAAGAACGCTACTCTCGATTCCAGGCCGAGATCCAGTCACGGTTAAAGAAACTTTGTCTAAAATCCCCCCCACCCCTGGAATTCCAGTCAAATAGCATGTTCCTTGCTGGAGTGGAATACTCCAGAAACAGTTTGGAGTGCCGTTGTAGTTCTTTGCCAAAGTGAAGCACTCTCTTCACTTTATTGGATTAGCAAAGGATTGTTCTGGAAAGCTACTTTGTTACTTACTATACGATGAGTTTTTCAGAAGCGGCATTGATCGGATAATCGTAGTGTTGCAGAAATGAAGATTAACCGGGGGAGAGCTGCCCCCAGTCGGTGCCCCGGCCCTGAGCCCTCTGCCCCGGGCCGCCGTTCCCTGCGACTCTTCCCCTCCCACGGCATCTACGCTTCACCGCCATTGAAACGTGGGTTAAAGCCGCGCTTTCCCACGGGACAGGTAGGGCTCCCGATCGGCTCCCCCCACCGCCGCCCCGCCGTGCTCGGCAGACCCGGCCCCACTCGCCTCGGCCTCCCGGGGCCGCGCCGCTCCGCCCCGCGGCATTGTGGGGGCTGTAGGCGGCCGCCGCCGCCGCCGCCTGCGCTGCCGCTGTCCGCCGGCGCTGGGGTGGGACTGCAGCTCCCGGCGGCCGCGGGGCAGAGGGGCCCGGCCTGGGCGAGCGGCGGCGCGGGGAGGAGCCGCGGGCGGCCGTGTCGGCCCGTCACCTCGGCGCCGCGGGGAGAGGCCGGCGCGGAGGGGAGAGGCTGGCTGCGGCGGCCAATGCGAAACTGGCTGGTGTTGTTGTGCCCCTGTGCGGTCGGGGTCGCGGTTCACCTCTGGCTGCTGCTTGGCTGTCCCAGCGGCCCCGGGAGACACCCGGCAGGTAGGGCAGGGGCACCCCGGGCGGGCAGGGCTCCCTCCCCACCGGGAAACTGGTGAGGAGGGGTCGGGGGTCGCGGGACTGAGCGCTTGAGGGGCTGGGGAACGGGGCGGCTCCGGACTGGGGCAGTTACTCGGGCCGGTGGCGACCCTTGGGGGGGGGGGGCGCGGGGAAAGGGGGCTGAGGAGCGGCTGTGGCAGTTAAACGGTCGTGGCCGAGCCCGTGCCGCGTAGCGTCGCGACGGTGCCGCGTGTCTGTGGCTGTGGGCAGCTCTTCTACCGGCGGGTCTGGCTCCCGTGGCCGGGCACCTGGGGAAAAACTGCTGGGGGATGGAGCCCAGAGCGCCCGCGTGGGTTCATCGTGAGGCACCGGGTCTTTCCGTCGGGCAGTGGGTAGCCGCGGTGGATCTGCGGCGCACACCGCAGGCGCCGGCCGCGGTGCGGGGTTGTCGAGGGTGCGCTGCTGCGCTCTGTGGGGCTGACCCCTTTCTGAACGTCTCCTGCGCCACGGATGCCCCCCGCGCCCACCGATCCCACTTGTGCCGCGCTATTCCCGGTGCTAGAACAGCGCTCTGCGCCGTGCCGGGTCTGCCTTGGCGGTCTTCAATACCCCTGTGGTGCAGAAAGTGACTCGCAGGATGGCGTGTGATCCAGCACTGGTGAAATCAGACCCCGAAGGGCTGTAGTTGTGATCCTCATAAAATGAGTTGCAGTTTTGAGGCCGCAGGTGTGCATACCTCATAGAAACAGGCATCTGTTGGGACAGAAACTTTTATCAGCTACCCATCGGTGCTGTCTGACAACATTAAGAAATACTCTACAGGGTATCTGGAAAAAAATGGCAAGGAATAAATGGTGTTTTTTTACTTGAGATCTTCTTAGAACTCTGTCTAGGGACCCAGTAGCCTGTTCACCAACAAAGCCACCCTTTGCTGCGGGTGCCGGTTTCCTGTGCAGTGTACGCAACCGTGAGGAAACAAGAGCCTGGTGATTGCCAGCGGCAACTAATAATGGAGGTGTGAAAGATCGTGTATCTTTGCACGTTCTGAAGGCTGCAGAGCTGTACGGGTGTCTCTGTGTCTGTATTCTGGCCATGGCATGTCAAATGAGTAGTGCTCACACTTGAATTGTAAAAGAGCAGGAGTTCTGCCTGTTAGCCAGGACTGCGTTTGAATTGCCTGGTTGGGTTTGTGCCTCATCTTTCACTGTGCTGCTTTTGTAACTTCACTGTGTTAATTTGGAGTTCGAAGTGGCAATGTGGAATCTCATTATGACCTTTCCTGCAGAAAGGTGCTTTCCACTAACAAATATTTCTAAAGAAAATCCAGAAGTTTCTCAGCTGGGGAGGGAGGGAGGGAAGGATCTTGTCTCTTCAGAGATTCACTGTTTCAAGCAGTTGTTATTGGCATTTGTGTTTGTTACTGTGAAACTATGTTGCTTTGGATGAAGTTAGGATAATTAGGATTAAAAAACCTCAGTGCCTTTTTTTTTAATACTGAAAGACTAGGTGCACATTTTGTTTGTGAAAGGGTTATTTAGTTGTAACCTGTGTGTAACGTATTTACATGAGGAGAGAAAACCTGATACCTCTTATAAAAAGAGAACTTGTCTTTTATAGGAAAATGCTTAATATTGTACATGTTTGGTCTATTTGTAGGTCTGATTCTCACGTGATAAATTAAGGAAGAGTGCCTCTTAGTTTTCAAAGTACCGCCAAATGTACAAGCTGTAGTTACGGCTCCCTTGGCAGAGGGAAGGAGGATGGCTTAAGGGACCTCTTCTATTTCTGCTGGGGTTTTGTGTAATATTTTTTTGTTATTCTTCAGAGTGTTTTAGTAACATCAGTGCATTCATACACAAGAGTATGTCCATACACAAGATTAAGAAATGTCCTTATTTATTAAAAGGCTTCTTGATTCTGGAACTATTTAGGAAGATCAGGTACTGCCTGAGAAAGCGAGTCTTGTTTCTTCCTTTGATTATTGAGGGATCCTGCTCCAGCTCTCATTATTACCTTCTAGCTGGAATCACTGCTGTGAATAAAAGCTAAATCTGATCATGGGGCAGTGTTTTACAATATCTGTGACATAAAAATGCATTATTCATGATTCTTCGATATTGCTGTGTGTCTCAGTAGTTGTGCAGTGTTGAACAGTTGCAAAATTAGCTACCAGTGGAGGTCAAAGGCAGGGTGAACAGTGGAGTTTTATTCCTCTCTCAGTAGTCATCATGCACATGTACACAAATGGAAATTTGTTAAAAAGTTAATAACCTGTTTTAGTGATTATTTACCTTGATGTTGTTGACTTGCTAACCCAAGACAGGAATAGACATCTCTGGCCATCGATTCTGCTTACTACTTCTAATAAGCAACTCTTGGTCTCTGTCTTAAAATGGCAGCTGGGCAGCCTAAATTTGTTTAGTGAGGGTTGAGGGAGAGGCTGTTCCAGAAGGTTGTTGTCTTGATTAGAAATGTTTTCTCATTTCTGGCCTAAGCTCCCTTGCAACTGGTTTATGCCCTTCTGTTCTTAAGGCTTTCAGTTGAAAGGTCTTTCTCCTCCTTCAGGTACACCTCCATCATGTAACCATGGAGATCAAATATATCTGTTTTAAACCTTTGTTTTCTTTAGCTGAGCAATTCATACCTTAAAGCTCATACAGTTCCAGCCCTCCTCCCCTGGATAGGAAGACCCTCTACTAGACCAGGTTGCTCCATGCTCCAATCCAGCTTGGCCTTGAACCCTGCCAGGGATGAGGCAGCCACAGCTTCTCTGGGCAACCTGTGCCAGTGCCTCACCACCCTCATAGTGAAGATTTTTCCTGATATCTAAATTTACCTTCTTCCAGTTTAAAGCAATTCAGGTGCTTCTGACATCTACTGGCAAAATAGGCTTTGTTTCAGCACAGCATTTCATTTTTGCTGTTTGTAGGTCAGATGACTTGAAACAATGTTCCAGTCTTCACCCATTCCATCTACGTCTCTTCATCTACTGGAAGTATTGCCTTTAATAAAACTTCTTTCTTAACTATGCCATGTGAAAGGCCTGTGGTCTGCCTGCGTGCTTTGGTCCTCAGTTGTTTCTCTCCCTGTGCAGTATTCCATTGCATTGGAATTGCATCCTGTGCAGTGTTCTTGATCCATTTCACCTTGGTGTCACAAAAGACACAGAACACCTTTTTGTAGGCAGTACTCTTTAACTGGAAAAAATAAATAGGATCAGTTCCAAGACCAAAAGCACTGGCCTTTGTTTCAGTGTCCTGACTTTGGTGGCTCCTGCTTTCTTTTTGTTCATCAGTTAATGGGGCTGTAATTCACATTTCCAAGCAAGACCTCTGCAAGAACATGGTTTTAGGTTTAATTTAAGTCCTTGTCTAACTGGTTGCAAACAAGTGCTATCCAAAGGAAGTTTGTGGGTAGGAAGCTTTAGTTAATTTTTGTAAAAGTCTTAGATAAATGCTAATTATAAAATGACCTCAGAAACTTGGGAAGGAACAGACGGACCTGCTTTTAGCACTCCAGGTGGATTCATTGCTAATTGTGTGCTTTAATTGATGGCATAAGTTTTATTGACTAGGAAATTACTCACTGTAGGGCTTCAGTTACAGTGCCTAATCAGAAAGCCCCACACATTCCATTTAATATGCTGCTACTTTGCTGATGCCCTTTAAGACGTTATTCCTGTTACATTTCTGGGGGTGTGTGGCAGCTAAGAATTGGCCCTTTTGGTTTTGTTACAGTCAGTCTTTTACTAGTGAATAATTATGCAACAGATTAAAACCCACCGTTTTCTAGAAGCTGCTTCTATGCCATCTGTTGTCCTGTGGTTCAGCACGTACTTCAGTCGCTGGCCTCTGAAAGTGATGCCGTGCTCTGTAAGGTGAAATTCTCCCAAAATGTGTACTTTCTTAAGGAAACCAAGTTGTCTGAAGTCTGTTAAGCCTGCCTGAAAGGGAGTAGTATGCTTGGTCACAAAGTTATTTCATATTTTGTAGGCATGTAAACACTAATAGGCTGGTGGCCTTGGAAATTGAAACCTTCCATCGGTGGGTCGGGTTTGGCACTGGCAGTACCTGTGCAGTTCTGCTTGAAATGCTGGTTGTTTCCCAGCCTTCATCTATGAGATCTTACTATAGCATTGTTTCCAGGGGTGGGCCATCCCCAACAAAAACAATCACCTCACCTTTGATGGGCATGAGATAACTGACAATCTACAACAAAAGGGACAGTATTTTCCAACTGAATTGGGGTTCTTTTTAGAGTTTGCAGTTATTCTGTAAACTGATGCCCGACACATTATAAACTACTAAGGAGCAGCACTGGAGCTGTGGTTTTGCGTTTTGGCGTTGAAGTAGGTGGCAAAGAGTACCAGTTCTGCCAGGGTTGGAAAGCAATGCTTCTGGCTGAAGGAAGGTCTTCACCAGTTGTCTTTTAAATTGCCTGCTGAGTAGAACAGCCTAGGAGCAGGCTTTTTGTTCCATGGGATCAGAGACTGGTAAGTTCTTTTCAAAGGTGCTGTCCTCTTCTCCCCCCAAAAAGGGGGTGGAGGAGGCACCATTTTCAGTGTTGCAAAAAGGATTTGGTTTATTCCTTTTATGTCTATGCTTCTGATGCTTTTTCCGTTGTTCCCAGATTTGTCTAGAAGTGTTCCAGTGCTGTATCATTAATGATGTTTAAAGCACCATCATCCCATCAATATTACTATTACGCTTTGCAATTCAGGACTCTGCTGTCTTATTTCTTTAAGGGACTGCTATTGTGAAAACAGAAAAATCTGGACTCTGCCTGCAGAGGTTTTTCCTCTTTCAACCTGTAAAGCTTGTTCAAAAGCTTGTTTGAAGGCTTGTCTCTTTCAAGGAGTACTGTGCTCCCGCAGAAACCAGGGGTGTGCATCTTAGTGGTTTTTACCTCTGGTATAAAGTAGGTGCCACAGGGGAGTTCTGTAGCTCTGCTGGCAGAGAAACCTGTAATGCAGCTGAGCTGTACCAGATTACTTTAGGTGAAGAAGGTTAGAGAGAGGGAAAGACCTGCTTTTACTCGTTGGTTTGTTCATTTTCTATGTGTGTCAGCATTCTTTGAATCCAGTTTAGTTCTGTCTGTTGTGTTTAGATCTTTCACAAAGCAGCACGGAAGAAAAAAGCATTAAAAACCAGGAATATGATTGCAAAGCCTCAGTAATAGGCAGAGATAACAACCTGGAGTGTGTGTGGTTTGTTTTTTGTTTGGGTTTTTTTTTGAGTGGTATTGTTCCTTTTTAGTCTTATCTTATGAAGTGGGTTAGTTGAGAATATCCTAAATAGCTTAGGATAAATCATGCTGGAGGAGGCATCAGGGAGCAAACAAAAGGCCCAGGCTGCCTCAAGAGTTTGCAGAGAGAGCAGTAGGACATTGTGTCTTGCCCACAAGGTTTGTGGTGGTTGATAGGAAAGAGAAGGCCAGCAAGGGCGTGTTCTCAGGGGGCAGTTTGTTCACAGGACAGGCAGGCACATATTTAAAGAATGGAAGATGCTGTCAGTCAAAACCAAGGCTTATGTTCTTGCCTGCTTTGTGAGTCACAGTTTCTTAGCTTTGTCACTTACCTGCACTGACTTGCTTGGTTCAGGGCAGTCAAGCTTTCCTAGATTGCTAGTGAAGGCGATGGGATGTTGAAAATGTTTCCCTGATTGCAGTAGGAATTTTGCTTCTTGTTGTGTTTCAGGTTCCCATTTCTCTTGCTTTTGAGTTACATTTTAATTATTGCTTCCAACTCAGGCCTGGTAATATGTGCATTCAGTAAATCTTTGTCACTTTATATTTCTAGGTCCACTGGCCTTCTTTCCTCAGTGGAAGCTGAAACATTATGATGTTATTGTAGGTGTTTTGTCAGCTCGACACAATCATGAACTGCGCAGTGTTATAAGGAGCACTTGGTTCAAGCACCTGAAACAACATTCTGCACTGAGCCAACGGTAATTTCTAGTGTTTTGTAATTTGGTGGGGGGAAGACTGTAATGCTTAAATATCTTGATATATTTTAAGTATTTCCTTTGTTGCTTTATTTGTGAGCATCTTACACTCTGGTTTATTTTTTTGTTTTTACCTGCTTAGTATCATATGAGACTGTTTCTTCTTCTGGACTGTAACTTTTTTGTGCAAGGAATAAAATGTAATCGTGTGACTGTTCACTGCTGTTTGTTTTGTAATTACTTGCCACTGTTCATTAGTGATGTACAAGACTTTCCTTCTGTGTTGCAATGCACACTTTGTATGGGATACAAGTTGGAATGCTTAGTAATCCAGGATACTTGAAAGCAGACAGGATTGCATTTGGTGAGAGAACCACAAAAAACTTAAAACAGCCTCAACTGCAGAGTGCAGGTTTATTTTCCACTTAGCCGGGTGCGCAAAACTGCTGCAGTGTGAGTGACCAGCAGAACCCTTCCTGATGGCTTGCATAGACTTGACTTTCTACAGACAGCTCTGTTGTTGCTGAGAAAGTTCTGCTGCAGTTCGTTCCTGGAAACTGTCATTTTGATAGGCCTCGCATCTTGGTACCTGCCTTGCTCTGAAAGCCATTTACTGTTCTCAAATTTGGTGCCAGCACACAGTTTGGAGTGAAGCGTAGCTACTTCAGTCAGCTAAAAATGTCACCTTTCACAGCTTATATGGAGTTCTAGGAGGAGTTCTGGTAGGTGAAAGGCTAGGCTATGGTGGATCCCCTTCATACTGCTTCTTGTCTCCTCCTGACTGTTACACAATCATGATCTGGGCTGCAAAGAGCAACCTGTGGCTTTGCGACAATCCCAAGATTGAGACGTTTTGACGTTTTGCTGTAACAGATAGTCTGGAGTCCTTGCTCCTCCTTTGGTGCTGTGTGTCTGGGTTTTTTCTTCTTTTTTTTTTTTTTTTTTTTCCCCCATCGCCTGTTAAATGCAGAATATTTAAACACTTTTCAGTTAAGTAACAAAGCCAGGTGGGGAAGGGCAGGTCTTTGGGATCCCTCAGTGTTGCCTTGGGTCCTTTCCTATTTAGTTTGCTGGCTGTCTTAAATCCCATTCCTAGCTGCCAGTCTTCCTGCACTCTCATTGTGAAATGCGAAATGCTAATGTGGGTTTGGAATTGAGCCCCTAAGAGGGGATTCACATGATTGCTTTGCATACAATCACCACTGATTTCTAAAGCATTCAAAGTCTTAATTCTGTGAAAGACAGGCTATTGTGATGAAATAAGGTTATTGAAGATGGAGGGAGGAGGGAAGAGAACTGGTGTTAATAAAACCACATTATTTTAGTGTCCTTGTGAAGTTTATAATAGGTGCACATGGTTGTGCTGTGCCAGTGGAGGACCGAGAAGACCCCTACTCCTGCAAACTTCTGAACATCAGTAACCCAGGTATAGCAGTTACCTTTTAAAAATACCATGATCTGAACTAGAACTAATCATCTTTTCTGAGAGTGGTTTGGTTGCTTAACTGAGACAGCCAGGCTTGAAAATAAATGCCATCTAGAACTTGCTGTCTTAGCAGTTGCATAATCTTCCTGTAAGTACCCTGTGCAGGTTTAAAAAGGAGAGATCTTTGGGGGTGTGAAGGGGGAGGCCATTGACTTCTAATGGATCTGTATTTTCCTTGCACTGGGGAACAGTCTCTCTCATAAAACATACATTTTTACCTGATCTCTGTGTAAAATGGGGTGGGAGAGAACCAGAATGACCTGGCGTAGTGTCATATGTGAAGAAAGTAGCGAGGCATCAGTCTCAAATGTCAGATGGACTTCTCTGGTGACCAAGTGAATTCTAAGCAAGCCTGGCTGATCGGTTTTTCAGATTCTGCTCTAGGGAGAAAAAAATTAAATGTACCATGGGGAAAATAGTAATTGCTCACATAGAAAAAAAATCATGATTAAAATTGTACATTCTTCCTGTCACCTTTTAGTTTTTATTTAATTTTTGCTCTTTAATTGCAAGGTAACTTAGGACTGTTTAGTACTCTGAGCCATGACTCACCATAAAATTAAACTTCTGTTACTTTCTCTTTGAATGACAACATCCACTGCTTAACCAATCTCCTGAGAATAAACGGTACCTCAGGGTTGAGGGAGGAAATCATGCCAAAAATCAGGCAGCAGAATTAAGTGAAGGTGTATGCCATTTTGATGAACAATTATTTTAATATGCTAATATACAGGTATTCATGCAGGCAAATAGCATTTTTTGTCTTCACTCTGGATATACTGTGTTTCTAATATTGTCTTTGTGGATATGTAGACATTGACTTGCAATTGCTGGTAGCCTGCACATTGCTGCATCACTCTGAATTTCTCCTTGCTGCGGTCTGCAGCCAGTTGTATTTTATTCTCCTCCAGCATTTGATTATCTTTGTGCACTTGCAAGCCATGCTCATTAATTGGAATGCTTTGCATGTATCCGATGTGCTTCATGCATATCCAGTTTTAAAGAACTATGAAGTCTTCTCACATTACCTCTGTCCTTTCTCTTTCATGCAGTTTTGAATCAGGAAATTGAAGCATTCAGTCTCCCTGAGGATGTACCTTCTGAGCTATCTGAAGACAGAATTGTCAGTGTGAACTTTCGTGTACTTTATCCCATTGTCATTACCAGTCTTGGGGTATTTTATGAGGCTGATGGAGTGGGATTCCAGAGGAACATTACTGTAAAGCTGTACCAGGCAGAACATGAGGTAGAGTATTGTAGTTTTCTTTTGAAAATGGACTAAAGCATGTTGTCATTTTACTGTGGATTAAATTCTTACAGAAGGCAATGTGCTGTATTGGTGATTAAAAGAGAAGTACTTAACTGCATATGAATAACACTTTTTTTCTGTTGCATTGCAAATTCTTATTTCATGCACACATCCCGGATGAGGAAAAGATAAAATGCTATGAGTTAATTTTATTGCTTTTTTGAAGGAACACTTGCATTTAATACAAAGACACAGTTTTGTTTGTGTTTGAGGTTCTAAACTATTGATAGGTATTAAGGAATAAAAATCTGTTGAATATATTTAAAACACGTCAGCAGAAAGTCACATTTGGTGCCTTCAAGCAGAGAGATGCAGGACAGCTGTAACTTTTTCTTGTCTGGCTTCTGGCAAGACATTTTGAGGTTTCTAGAAACTGTTATTATTTACAGGTAATAATCAAACTTCGGTGATAATTCCCCCCATTCCCAGGCTGTTAGGGGTTTGCTAGAATACCTTGTGCTAACCTGGAGGAAAAGAAATCGATTGGGTATGATTGTTGCGTTTGGTATATTGCATTTATCTCTACCAGTAACTTGATAGGCTAATTTCAAGACTTCTGGCTATGCTACAGTAGAAGGAGTTTTAAATTTAAGCTAATAATTAAAATGAAGTATAGAAAATAAACTGAAATATGGTTATTGTGATGGACTTCCAAAGAGTTGGGTTTATAATAGACAAAAAACAAAGTGCATTTTAATCAGGTTTATGTTTGCTAAATGTTAGAATTCTAAACCTTGAGAGCCTAATAACTTGATCTGTATTACCTTTTTAATTCCAATGAAGGAAAAAAATTAGTATCATAGGAGTGCTTGGAGATTGTTTTCTGAAGATTGTGAGTCTGACAATGCAGTCTAGTACAGAATCTTTTCAGTCATTTGGTGGCCTACATAATATAGTAGCAATTAAGTTTTAGGGGTCAGTTAATCCTCCAGTGCAATTAATAGTAGTCAGCTGTTTAAACAGAAGGCAGGAAGTCTGTAAACAGAGACGAGTCTGAGTGTTCCAAGTGATGTGTTCTGTTGATTGGATTCTAGCTGAACTTGCACTTTCGTTCCATTGTTGATTGCTTCCACCATATCAACCCGATACTTGAATTCTGTGGAGTCTGAGTCTGTTGTGAGAATGAAACTTTCACTAAACTTTATACAATCAATGAGCCTCCTTCCGTTGTAACTGAGATGATCAAGATTTGCATAATCTCACAGCACTTTTAATGTGTTTTGTTTGTTTTTTTTTTCTTTTCTGTTGTTCACAGGAAGCTCTCTTCAGTGCTCGCTTTAGTCCACCAAGCTGTGGAGTGCAAGTGAACAAATTGTGGTACAAGCCAGTGGAGCAGTTCATTTTGCCAGAGGTATGTGCAGAGCCGCCTGAAGTCCTTTTAAATCAGCTAGAGAGATTGATAAAACTGGCCATTGCATGAGGCAGAAAAGGGCAAGTGAAGACCTCCTGAATGTTAGCTGAGGGGATATGCTGAAAATCAGAAATTCTTTTTCACCATCTCATTATCACCAGTAGTTTTCAAAGCAAAAGCCTGAAAAATACAAATCGATTTAAAAATTACATTGACAAATAGTAGCAGTTTCAGCAGCTTTTTCAGTTTCTGAGTGAAAATTGTGCCTGCTTCAATTCTGTGGAAGCGTTTACCAGAGAATGAGACACTTCTTTCCCCCTCCTGGTTTTTCATACATTAGTACACAAGACGAGGAGGGGAAGATGGCACAGATTTTTAGGGAACAGCTGGAAAAGGGGTTATTCCTTCTGATAACAGCAAGATGATGTGTGTTATGGTTGGAATGATGGTATTAGTTGAACAGTTGTAATTAAAAAAGCTGTTACTGAGGGCTACTGAAATTTTGGTTGTTCCTTTTGTGGATGCACAAGTGAGGATTTTTTTGTTCATTGAACCATGGAAAGAAACAAGAATTTAGAACTTCAAGATCTTTAGGAGGGTCGATCTGTAATGTACTAGAGGAGGTATGTGGTGCACGGAAGACTGACATTTGGAGTTTCAAAACCTGTCAACATCCTTCAGCAGAAGTACGTTGTTTGTTTTTAATGGGAGGCCCCCTCAGAAATTTTGGAGAAAACTGCTTTTTGGTCAGTAATGAGTGTTAATGTTCTTGCTTGTCCTCAGATACTGTTAGCTAAAGTAACAAGGCAGGGTCTTTTTTTTTAAACCTCTTTGGGACTGGGGATGCAGTCCAAGAGCAGGGTTTTGGTATAGGGATATAGAACCTACTTGTGCCTGCTTAGGATGGAAAGTGATTAAACACTGAAGAAACAGAATATAGGTAGGAAAAATACTGATATTGTTACAGTGAACATTTAATGAACACAAGTTGATTTAGAATGAAAATTCTAGTTCAGCAGACACTCCCAGGTACAAGGATCCCAGTGGACCAGTGATACCTCACTAAATATATCAGCTGCTATTTTAGGCTGTTTCCCTACACTTAAATGTTCTCCCATGTGACTGGATCCTTGATGCTATTTCTGTAAGTTGTCTTTGGGTCTGGGTTGTTCTCTTATGCCAGAAATCAAGTGTTTTATGAAAGAATGGACCACAAGAGGAGAGGACATGTGGGGGCAGTTTAATCCCTGCTTTATTCCCCTGGGTAAGAATGAATGCATTTGGAAACCTGCTCTTTCTAAGGCGAATCAGCAGCTGATTAACTGGTTTCTCATCTGGACCAGTTTTTACTGAATGCTGTGCGTGTTTGTTAGCTGGCAGGAGACCTTTCTGGTGAGCAGACCTCTTGCAGTATTTTGTGCTATATATTTGACAATCTAATTTGATATCTAAATGATTCAGGGTTTTTTGCCTCTTTTAAAAAAGAGTATTGGTTAGCCAGTGGTTTTGTAGTTTAACATGTAAGCCTTTTCCCTGTAAGACTTTGTTCTGATACACTAACATTCTAGGCAGTTGTAATTTTGCTATAAATGATTGCCATTTTCCTGAGAGGCAGATGGGAAGTATTTCATTTGGAAAGGGGATATTAGTATTCATATATTTCTTTGTGTGGGCTTCCTTAATCTGATACGTGTCATGCACTGAATGCTTACAGAATAACATGATGTTTCTAATGCAGATTAATAGGACTTATGCACAGCATGTAGTCTCCTGTGATACTTAGAATGCTGAACCATACAAGATGATTCAGAGGAGATAGAATGCCCACGTGTTCCTATCTACTTGCTTGAGAGCAACAAATTTAGTGAACTGTTTAATTGTCGTAAGATGGTTTCTGAGACATTTATTCTCTGCCTTTTCACGTTCAAAAAATAATGGGTTGTACAGACTGCTGAAGAGTGTCATTCATCTTCCAGCTGAAGTGCTGCTCTTTCTGTTGTCTTGGGGAAAGGAAGGGAAATGCGGCATTAGAATAAGCATCTGGCAAGCCAGATTGTCAAAGACAGAATCGATCATTCAGTTTTGGAATGACTGAAAACGCAGAAAAGCAGAACCACTAGCAGATAACTAAAACTCACACAGGGGCTCTTACAGCCAAGTCTTAGCAATGCACTTACTCTGTCACAAAGCCACAGGTTGCTTGCTGAAAATGGGACTCTGTACTATGCATGCTCTGTATTACTAATGGGGAGTAGTTGGGGCAACCAAAGGCAAAGCACCGTTTGACATTAGGAAGGGAGTTTGACAGGTCTGCGTTATGTCAGTACACCTGTTTGGTATTCACTGTAAATGCCACTGCACTCTGGCAGCAGCAAGGCTGGAATTTAGGTGGGGAAAAGCCGATGATGTAGTCTCAGGTGTGCCACTGTTTTTTTTTGCTTTAAGCATGTTGAGGCCTCAGCTTGCTTACTTAGTAAGCAGCTTAGAGTTAAGAACAGCTGAAGGCTAAAGTCATTAAAAATTTGCTTACAAGTCTCTCAACCTGGAAAACACGATAGTTTGCGGCTTTAGGACACCTTGCACTGAGGTTCACTGATAATAACTGATTAAGACTCGTGGCACAGGTTGAAGTCAGTATCGGTAATAGTCAGTGGTGAGAATTCTAATGTTTCTGGTTGCTAAGTGAAAGGACTCTCAGGCTCACTAAACAATTTGCCAAAGGCTGTGTGTGTAAACAGGGCAGGGAAGTGAGATTAGAGCCTGGTCCCTACAGCAAAAGAACATTGGAATGGGAGATGACAGCCTCTGCAAATAGAGAAATTGAGCTTTTGGGTTTTACTGTGCAGGGTATTAAGGGGTTCTGCAACTAAAAAAATTCAGTAGTGGTCCATTTGTTTTGGTAACTCACAGGTAATTAAACAAACAAGGGCAAGATACTGAGCATGCAAGTCAGGCTTGAATAAACACTGACCAGCTCTCTCTATTATGTGTTTGTAAAGCTGGCATTATAAATAATAGATGGGAGGCTTCTGAAATATGCAGCTGGCATTATATACCGAGACTGCTGCAAATGTTAAGACCTACTTCTAGAGGAAAACAATGAATTGAGCTGAAATCTAAGCTAAACTTAATGGTATGTCAGTAACTGGGGAGTTTCTGGAGAAGGTTTTTGGAGCACAAGGAAGCTGAAATGGAGAAGAGCTGCGAGGTCAGTACAAGTAAGTAGACTTCGTACTGCAACAGAAATGTGTCTACAAATCGTTGAAACCAGTTATTTCTCTGTTGTTCCAAGGCCCACACTAGCTACTAGTGTTTTTCCTGTGAAATTGGAGAAAAAAATTGGAATGTGCTCATCTAGCAGTCAGGGGTGTGCTCACCCTGCACCTAGTCTGTATGACCTTGTCATAAGGGTGAAATTGCTTTAAAAAAAATAAAAAATGTAATACTACCAGTACTCTTACCTGTACAGCATAGCTCTTGTCCCCTCACATGTTCTCAGGGGTCTTCAGGAAAGTCTTACATAAAACGGGTAATAGTTGGACCGTTAGTTGGATGAGCTGCAAGTTGAGGTGAAATGCTTTAAAGTGCAAGAACTTTTGGTCTTATTCTTGTGTGTATATCTATCTGTCTATTTATCTGTCTATCTATACACACAAACCATGGAGTGACATAACTTGAATAGATAGTTAAACCCAGAAAGTTTTAAATCTATTCACTTGTCTTTCTTCTTTCCCAAGATGGGAAGTCAGAGTTCTGTGACTCTCCTACAGTAGCTTGTGACAGCTTTGCCAGGATAAAGGTGGCTGTATTTTCCTTTGAGTTTTGCTGATGTCAGGGTTGAGTCTCTGATCTCTGGTTTTGGCAGATAACTAAAAAGCTGCACTTATTTCCAGATCTGTTTTAACGTATTCTCTTTGTAACACTGGATTTTGTAGTTGATTTTTAAAAATTCACTTCAGGTCATCTTTAAATGCCATCTTAGTGAAGTTAAAAATCCAAAGCCTTTTACAGTAGGCTTCTGTTAAAAGTTTAATGATCCCAATACAGAGATTCATGATTAGTCTTAAAGACATGATTACGTGATACTGAGTTTCACAGATGTTATTTCTTTCATGTGTAGCTTGTTTTACTTACACTTCAATAAAAATATCTTACGCTGTGCGTTCAGGCTGTAACTTTCACGAAGCTGGCTATTTTAAAATAAAACCTCCAAACTGTTTGATTTTCATCCTTTGAAGTTGTTGAATAGCTGCATAACAGCGTTTTACTCTTTTACCAGAGTTTTGAAGGTACCATTGTGTGGGAAAGCCAGGATCTTCAGGGTCTTGTTTCAAGAAACCTTCATAAAGTGACGGTGAATGATGGAGGGGGTGTTTTCAGAGTCATTACTGTGAGTCACATCACTTTCCCTTTCACCATGCTTCTATTTTACTTACAAGTCTTGGGTATTTAGCATTTCACTTTCCTGTATGACTCTGTAAATCGTTAATTCAGTTGGCTGCCTTCTGTTGTCTTAGAGGGCAAATTTGCTTTGCCTGGGGAAAGGACAAGGGCATGCAAAAAATTATGCTAGTAAGCGGCATTTTCGTTTAATTTGAAGGGATTAAAGTTCATCTGTTGTCTTTGTCAGGTGTGAAGCAGTATCAGTGTATCAGATGGCAAAATGTGGGTCGAAAATCCTGTGCTGTACTCCCAACTGATGAAATTAAGCCTGTTTTTTGCTTTTTGGCAGTGTATCTCTCTTCCTGTCAAAACATTGCTTGCTTAAACATGCTGTGCGGTTGTAACTTAGCATTACCTGTAAATAACTTTACATTCTGATCTCGGCTTTGAAACCATCGTTCTAAAAGTTTCAGAGGGACCACTGGTTTTAGGTGAAACTTCAAAAAATGCCACAAAACTTTACAGTTAAAAATGTTAGCCTGAGTTTTCCATTATGCAGGTACCTAAACCGGAAGAGCTTTAAGTGAATGTAATTCTTAGGTGCAGAAAACGTCACACCTTCAAACCGCAGGGAAAAACAAATCAGTAATGAGAGATGAACTGATTTATTTCTTTCCCTTTATCTGTCCCTAGCAGGCAGGGGAAGGGTCACTGCCGCATGAGCTCACAGAAGGTGTGGAGGGAATAGCAGGGGGTTTTATCTACACTATTCAAGGTAAGTCTACAAAATGTAGCATCACATTTGATGTTAATATAAACCAGGAACTTTAAATTACATTTCTGAGGTAAAATTTGTGCTACCTCTATGAACTTGATCATCTTGTTTTCTTTTAGTAGAAACAATTTCTTTCCATTTTTTTGAGGGGAAGGGGTAGTGGTGTTATGCCTAATGTCAATGTCCTGATGTGGTTTCTTTGCTTCCTCTTTGTTGGCCACCCCAACTGACTTGCAACCCTTTGTCTTTTTAATAGGAATACCTTTTTTTTTATCTAGACTCTCTTCTCTGTCCTTCTTTTTGTTACCCAAGCCCAAGTTAAAAAAGATTGTGCAATGAAATCTTTTCCCTGATAACTTTCACATTTTTTCCAGTCCTGCTACTGCTGCTAGAAGTACTGTGTCGTGATGTTTAATGTTAACTACTGACAGACAGTGACTATGTAACGTAGCCTGCTTGTCCACCCTTGTTGTTGGTGTTTTACACCCTTTTCAGCAGAATGTTCAGAGACTCCATAGAAGCCCTTTCCAATGCCTGAGATTTCAGCCACATAGCACTAGAGGAGATGTATCCTTGTCAGTCCATCATAGCCAACAGAAGGAGTGACCTTCAGAGCATTATTCCCAGATACAACTGGGCAATCTGTTGTCTTCTTATCTGTGTAGGAGCCTAAACTGAGGTGTGCTAGTGCCCTTATTCAGAAAGTTCTTCAATACCACAAACTATCTCCTTACAACAAATTCAGTATTCCTACAATGCTTGGTGTTTTTTAGCCTCTACCAGCAGTCAGTTCTGTGATGCGGTTCAGCAGGGGCTACCCGTCCTATATCAAAGCAATGTGAATTTGATTATATTTAGCATCAGTTTTTTGTTTGTTTGCTTGGGAGTTAATTTTTTTAATGCTAGATAGACATGCTTAGGAGCCATTGATGCAACGGCAGCCTTTTTACTCTACCGGTAAGAGTTAATAGGGAAGTCCCAGACAGCTCTTTATATTTAAGACCCTTAAAAAGTTGAATCCTTTCATTACTGAAAAGTTAGAGAAAACTTTTTAACTTTAATTTTCTGTATCAAACCTTACACAAAAAATCTGCAACTTTTAACATTTCACAAAAAATTTAATTACAGGATTTTCATAACCCTGTTGAGTTGAACACTTCTTCAGATTCATTTGTCAATATGTCGTGTGTGATCCGAGAGAAACATCTGAAATAGAATGTAGAGATGCATCTTTGTTTAATGATGGGTGTTGTTTCTCTCAGAAGGTGATGCTCTTTTGAAAAGCCTCCATACTCGCCCAGAAAGGTTTACGAGTCACATAAAAAATCTTGACAAAGAAGATGCTTTATTGAAGGAAGAAAGCAGCACCTATGATGATATTGTCTTTGTAGATGTTATTGACACTTACAGAAATGTTCCAGCCAAACTGCTGAACTTCTACCGATGGTAAGTTGAAAAGAAAGTATTTCCTCTTGGAAATGCTGTTTGTAGGGCAAGGTGATTCAGCACATTACTCACCTGACTGGTTCCAAGAAATATATAGCTGTATCTCACAATTTTGGGGGCATGTAATTAGTAACATAATAGGATCTCTGTTTCTTGAATGCTGACCCTTGGTGCCTCAGGTGAGCATGCGCTGGCAAGAAGGCTTCTGCTCTAGGAGCCCTGGTGTGAAAACTTTCTTGCTTCCTTGAAATTTCTTTTGTTTCTGACTGAAAACTAGCACCTTTGACCTATTAAGGGATTGCTTTTGACCAGTTTGTATACTTAGTGTTTCAGTTTGCTTGATTCTTGTCCTGTCACTGGGCACCACTAAAAAGAGCCTGGCTCTGCCTATTTACACCATCACTTCAGGTATTTATACGCATTGGTGGTGCTCCCTGAGCCTTTTCCAGGCTTAACAGTCCCAGCACTCTCAGCATCTCCTCATAGGAGAGATGCTCCAGTCACTTAATCATCTTGGTGGCCCTTTGCTGCACACTCCATCCAGTCTGTCCATGTCTCTTGTACGGGGGTGCCTAAGGCAGCACCATGTACTCCAGATGTGGCATCACCAGTGCTGAGTAGAGGGGGGAGGACAGGAAGCTTGTGTACAGGTGGGGCAGAAAGCCGAGTGGAAGAATTTTCACAGTGTATTACATCGTGTTGAATCTAATAAGTTTATTACCTCAAATTTATAACTCTTTCCATTACTCTGAGACAACTCAATTAATTGATGTTGCTGTGGAGGAAGAAATAGCTGAGAGTTTTAGTTGCTTGTAAGATTATGCCCTTATCTAACAAATTGATTGTGAATGTAACTGAAAAACTGAACCATGCTTTCAGTTCTAAGAAGGGAGTCTAAATGACAAGACTTAGATCTTTGTGATCACTTCTTACAGGTTAGCAAATTTTTCAAGATATAGTAATCAAAGGCTTCAGGAAAATGCCTTTCTTAGTAAGAGTTATCCTCAAAAACCGATGTTCCTTTAATCAACCCAGGAATAGTGCCTGGAATCTTAATCTGTTTTGGGTATTTTACAAATGACAGACACTCAACTTTTTCAAACAGGTAAAGATTACTTTTGTCATATTTGAAGGGTGCTTTATTTAAGAAGAATTAAGTACCAAGTTGTTTCCACAGATGTTTCTTACAACCTTCTGCAATTGTATCGCCCTTGAACTGACTCTCATCCTGAAGAATAGGCTACTGACATGTAGCCAGTGGCTTTTAACAGCTGTGCTGCCATCCTCATCAGGGATTCATACCCCTCTGAGGTCAATACTGTTTAAGACAGATTAGTACACCCACCATCTGTCTTGGAGAACAGAACTTCCAAGTTTGTTTTCTTCTGCTCATACATAAATCCATGTTGTAAGATCATCACTGGATGCAGCCGCGTCTCCTTTCTGTAGTGAGTCAGCCTTGGTCAGTAGGGCAAACATTTAAAAGCCAAGGGTAGGAAAAACATTCCTTCCCCCTGTGCTTCCCTAAAAACCCCTGTGGCATGTTCTGTTGTGTACCCGTAGTTTGTGGGCTGCAGCTCAGCATCTCATTGCTTTTCTTTTTGGCTACAGGACAGTTGAATCAACAAGCTTTGATTTGTTGCTGAAGACGGATGACGACTGCTACGTTGATTTGGAGGCTGTTTTTAACAGGATAATGCAGAAAAAACTGGATAGGCCAAACATTTGGTGGGGGAAGTGAGTTGTTTTTATTTTAACTTAAGAGATACCACATCTTTAGTGAATGGTTTACTGCTTTAAGTCTGGTGTCATGTGGGTTTTCTTCTTCTGTCTATGGAAGCTAGTTATAAAAAGCAGGATTTTTGTATGTGTAAAACTTTGAAACTCAGAATAATCAGTCCTTTACAATAACTTTCCAGAGTGTGTCTTTACAACAAGTTAACTTGCAGAATATCTTACTTAGTTTTAAAATGTGTTGCATATTGTCTTTGCTGTGGTACTTAAGTAAATAAAAGCATTCCAGCAGTGATGTTTAAAGGCCAGTATGTACTAGGCTTGTAAATGTTACTTCTTTTTGAAGCCATTGTGATTTTTCTGGTGGGCTTGAAGAAACAGGATAAATGAGAGAAACAAAATTGCCTTTATAGTCTGCACTTTATTTGAAATGGTAGATCTGAATCATGAATTCTTGATTGAGTTTCCCAGCCTGTATTACACTTGTGAATAACTAGGAGGATCAAAATAGCCCATCTCTTCCTTTCCTTCCAACCACGGAATGCATTGCTACACTGCTGCAACATCCGATGGAGCAGAAATGCTATGCTGCTGTAGCATTCAGTATAGCACAATGGCTCAGTGTTTTTTCCTGTTGCCATCTGCTTACTGAAGGAAAGCTGGCCTTTGCTGCTAAAGGTGGCTTGCTTCATAAATCTGGTACTGACTGTTGCTTACTCGTCGGGTGATTTAATAAGGTGTGTGCAAGTGTAATAGCTGGCTATCTTGCGATGATCTCAAAGATCTGTGTAGTGAGCGTGTGTTCTGTAGCCTGTAGAAAAACTCTGAGTACCTGGTGCCTGTTAAATTTTACCTCAAGACAATGCTAAGAGTGAAGGTGAGGTAGGTTCCTTCTAGCAATTTAAAAGGTTGGGATCTGCTGGACAAGGTGGAGACCAACTTGCAAAAGTTAAAATAGCACCGCGTATAAGCTGTCTGGGCTGCTGTTCCAGCTGATGTAGGGAGAGCTCTTATGAACTGTGTTCTTGGCTGTTAGAGCCAAGGATGCGACACCAAAGAGATTGCCCTCCTTCTCTCTGGTGTCCCTACCCGTACAATGGTTAGGTGTCCCCATCTTTGTGTTGCTGCCTGTTATGGGCATGCTCCTTGGCCAGAGTTTTCTGGTTATGTGTTCTGCTTTTTGTGTAAACACCAAGTATGCAGGTGTCTTCTGAGTGGTTCTGGGGACCCGTACAAGCTCTCCTGCCTTTAGACTCAGTGACATCTTGTATATTTAGACTTGAGCGTTGGGGCAAAGTAAAAATGAAATGCTTTTCATTTTCTCCCTGAGCTGGTTGTGGTGTGTGGAGACCTTAACTTCCTGAGCAGAAGGTTCATATATCATATATGTATAACCCCCCTCAGTCTGGAGGGGTTTGCACCCTTCCTGCTGTGACATGCCAGAGTGTCCTGGGTTCAGCAGTAGCAGTCATGTTTCTCCTCCTTGGTAGCTGGTGCAGTGCAGTGTTTTGACTTTCGGCTCGGGAACAGAGCTGATAGTGATGTTTTGGTTTGGCCAAGGACTTTGTGAGCCTCATGCTCTGCCAGGGAGGAGGGGAAGCTGGGAGGAGGCAGAGACAGGACACCTGACCCAAACTGACCAAAGAGGTATTTCATACCACAGCACGTCATGCCCAGGGATGTAACTGGGAGTTAGCCAGAAGGGCTGGGAGACTGCAGGGTTGGAGGAGGTGTCGGTCGGAGCTTGGTCGGGCCTGGGGGGCGAGTTAATGGTCAGCTGGTGCTGAGGTGTTGTATTCTCTTCCCTTGTTATTTCCTTTATCATTGTTAGTATTGGTGGTAGCAGTAGTGATCTGTGTTATACCTTAGTTACTAAACTGTTCTTATCTCAACCCGTGGGAGTTGCATTCTTTTCGATTCTCCTCTCCGTCCCTCCGGGAGTAGGGGGAGGGAAAGAAGGGGGGGGGGTGAGTGAACGAGTTACCTGACTGGGTTTAAACTACGACAGTTCTTTTTGGCGCCCAACGTGGGGCTCGAAGGGTTGAGATAACAACAGATTTGACTGGATTAATAGTCACTCGTCACAATGCTGATTTATTGGGTATCAGAGTTGTTCTTCTTGATCTCACAGCTTCAGACCGTTGTAACTTATGTAGAGCCGGTATTCGCTGTGATAGTGTTTATCAAGTGTGGGGCTTGGGCTAAGGCTCTTGTCTCACTGTGCTTTATGGCAATGGCTTGTAATACGGGTGGGCTCCAGCAGCAGGGCGGGACGGACGTGGCCGTGGACTTGTACCTGGCCGTCCGGCTGCTCTTCACCGTCCTGGCCCTCGCCCTACTCTCCATCTTCGTGAGGCTGCGGGGAACTGAGTTGGAGCGGTCCCGGGAGCCGGCGGCTGCTGAAGCGGCCCGGGAGAGCGGCCCCGGGGACCAAGCGGCGGCGGGAGCGGGGCCGGAGGCCGCCAGGGGACGGCTGCCGGTGGAGGAGGCCGGGGCGGTCGAGGAGCAGAAGGAAGCGGCTGCCGAGCAGCGGGAGAAGGCGGCGGAAGAGCCGAGCCCCGCGGAGGAGCCGAGCCCCGCGGCCGAGCCCAGCCCCGCGACGGCCGAGAGCATTCCCCGGCAGCCGCCCGCCGAGCCCCAGGAGGATGCAGGAGGCCACGCAGCATTTCCCAGCAAGGCAGAGGAGGAAGAGCTGGACTCAGGAAAAGAGAAGCTGGCGGTGGGAGAGCCGGCAAGCACAGCAGCTACACCAGCCCCAGTGACAAGTACAGCAGCATCGTTTGAGAGTTCTGAAGGTTTTGAATGGCCTTTGGGTATCCCTGGGACCTGCCTGCTGATTGTGATGGGGATCAGCATGTTGGCACACATACAGAGTGTGTTCTACCCACAACCATTTTGTCTGATCTCAAAAGTTAAGCAGAGTCAGGTTTGGGTCTTGTCTGGGGTTAGACAACAATATAGGGGGACCAAGAGATTTTCCCCAAGGCTGGAGAGTCATGAGTGGCAGGGTGTGTGGGACAGTATGGGCAAGTATCTAGTCCACTGGGCCCCTCCAGTGCTTTGGAAGCGTCGGAGATGGAAGGCAGCTGTATGGAGTCCCCAGCAACAAGCTGCAGAAACTGCTTAAGGGGACAGTGAATTATTTTAAGCCTGGTGGGCCCATGGCACTTCAGGCCATCAGAGCAGAGATGCAACATAGAGATGGACTCATGATCGAGGGGTGGACTTAGCAATGGACACTATTGCCCCGATTATTCACAAGTGTGAACACTGCACACAGTCTCTCCTGCTCTGGAAGACTGTTACAAGCGGTGGAGCCTGGCATCATGGACCAGATGGACACAGAGGCTTTATAGGGACTGGTCCATGCACTAAGATAAGAGTGCACCGAGATAAGAGTGATGGTATATTGAAAATGTGGGATCTGAGCATGACGTGAATGGTATGGAATAAGGGGTGGATAATGTCCTGGGTTCAGCAGTAGCAGTCATGTTTCTCCTCCTTGGTAGCTGGTGCAGTGCAGTGTTTTGACTTTCGGCTCGGGAACAGAGCTGATAGTGATGTTTTGGTTTGGCCAAGGACTTTGTGAGCCTCATGCTCTGCCAGGGAGGAGGGGAAGCTGGGAGGAGGCAGAGACAGGACACCTGACCCAAACTGACCAAAGAGGTATTCCATACCACAGCACGTCATGCCCAGGGATGTAACTGGGAGTTAGCCAGAAGGGCTGGGAGACTGCAGGGTTGGAGGAGGTGTCGGTCGGAGCTTGGTCGGGCCTGGGGGGCGAGTTAATGGTCAGCTGGTGCTGAGGTGTTGTATTCTCTTCCCTTGTTATTTCCTTTATCATTATTATCATTGGTGGTAGCAGTAGTGATTTGTGTTATACCTTAGTTACTAAACTGTTCTTATCTCAACCCGTGGGAGTTGCATTCTTTTCGATTCTCCTCTCCGTCCCTCCGGGAGTAGGGGGAGGGAAAGAAGGGGGGGGGGTGAGTGAACGAGTTACCTGACTGGGTTTAAACTACGACACAGAGTGAGAGACACGGAATCTAAAGTGAATTCAGGGATCAGATCTGACTTTTATCTGCTGGGTGCTTTTAACATGTCAGCTTCAGCTGTGAATATGTGGAGTCTGGTAATGGATCTGCCACTCAAATGCAGTTCCTCCCCTGTGGGGCTGTTGTCTGAGGTGACAATTCTTAGAAGCTCACTAAAGCTTTTTGCTGCTTGTGCTTATGACTTCAGCCTGTTTGCAAAGAGGGGCAGAACCTGCTACATTGGCATAGTTATGATACTTAGCTCTGAGAACGTGAAGTACTGTGAGTGCAATGGCACCAGCCTGTTCCCAAACAAGAGAAGTGGAGCACTTCTCCCTGCTTGGCACAGCAGTTTAACAGAGCCCGTAGCGCTGTGTGGTGCAGCAGGGTGTTAAAGCTGTGCTGCGCTGCCTGGGGATGGGAATCAGTGTGAATAGTGTGCACGGCAGGCTTTCTGCAGGCCTCCAGTAGCGACTACAGTCTGTCTTAGACGAGGTGAGTGCCAGGAAGGTTTTTTGTAACTCTGATGGCAGCCTTTGTATATCATCCACTTTGCTGAGTTTCATCTGCAAAACAGCTTAGAGAAGGTATATATAAAACCCAATACTTAGCCTTGCTTCCTGTTTCTTAAGCAGCCACTAGTTTTATTAGGAAAATGGAATGTGTAACATGGTTATAACTGCACTCCTGCTGGGGGCACCAACTTTGTGTTGTATTGGTTAACCAAAGGCACACAGATGTGCCATTACAGAAGACAGGTAAGGTTACCTGCGCTCATCTGGATCAAAACCCAGCAGCAGGTGCAGACATGCTTAAGACCTGACTGTCAGTGTTGTTTTTGTTTCTGTTTTGAGAACTTTTTATCCTTACCCAAGACTGAGACCAAACAATAGTTACACTTAAAGCTGTTGTGTTTGATTACATGGGTGCTCTGGAGAACTAAGGCTAGGAATTATGATCACCTTCTGCTTCTTCCTGTTACTTTTGTTTATCATCAGCATTACTTCAGTTGTTAGCAGTGTTCGTAGGTTTCACAGAGAGCTTTATCTAAGCATCTCACGGCTAACATGGTCTTCAGTTTCAGACTGAATTGGGCAGTTGATCGTACTGGGAAATGGCAAGAGCTGGAGTACCCAAGCCCTGCATATCCAGCTTTTGCTTGTGGATCTGGCTATGTCATCTCCAAAGACATTGTTCAGTGGTTGGCAAGCAACTCTGAAAGATTAAAGACATACCAGGTAGGAAAACACTGATTCACTTATTCTTAAACTTGTCTGGGGAGCACTATGTGTACTGTATGAGCTGGAAAGAACACTGCTCAAGTGTTTGTGTTGGGTTGTCCTAGTTGGCTTTTTGTAGTGCTTTTGGTTGCTAAGCTTAATGTCTATTGTATGTCGAAGCACAACTATGTTGGACTGAGAACCTCTGGAGCTGTAATACTCTTAAGAACAATGTATTTTCAGAGGAAAGCTGGGAGGATTAATTTAACACCTCTAAAATATACAGACATAGCTTTCTGTGAATTAGGATAAATTGCATCATGTACCAGCAGTAAAAAAAAAGGTAACTACAAAGTCATGCCTCGTGCTTTCCTGGTGCTAACATCTGTATGGTTTATCTTAATGTGTCATCTCAGGGTGAAGATGTGAGTATGGGTATCTGGATGGCAGCTGTAGGACCTAAGCGATATCAAGTAAGTCTGAAGAAATTCCCTGTGCTTTTGGAAAGAGAACATGCCTGCTGCTCCAGGTAGCATGAAATAGGGAAATTATTATTTTAATTAAAAATAAATAAATAAAAGCAATTGGATTAAAATCCAGAAAATTGTTCAGAGGAATTTAAAAGAAAAAAAAAACAACTATCACAAACCCCTCATGCTCCAAATAGGTCTAGCAGATCAGAGAGGGACATACATACACCTCGGGTTGGTGACCTCTCTGTGCAAAGTTTGTTGCTAGACACAATGAAAACCTGATTCTTGGAAGTAAAGACTTCTGAAGACTAAATTATTTGTAAGAAAAACAACTGAAATGGTTCTCTCTCTAACAAACAGGATAGTCTCTGGTTATGTGAGAAGACGTGTGAGAGCGGCATGCTGTCTTCCCCACAGTACTCTCCCCAGGAACTGAGAGAGCTCTGGAGACTAAAGGAACTTTGTGGAGACCCTTGTAGATGTGAGGAAAGATGATGGGATCTGCCTTGGAAAACAGGGCAGCATATAACGATCGTGGAAAAGTGTACATTTGGATTCATTCTTGGAACAATAGGGAGTATTAAGGTATCTTTTAATGGTGGCTTTCAACTAAAGTATTACAATATTTGCACATCCCTTTTGATAATTACAAGTGGACTGATATTATTAATTTTCTATTGTATAGGTGTTGATCTGACAAAAACCAAAATGTTTAAGATAAAAAATTTCCTTTTTATATAAAGTCAAAGACCTACTTGTAATTAATAAATGCACATAAGAATGCCAACTAGCCTGTCTTTTATAAATTAAAGTACTACTGATTTAACTCAGTGTAGAGATGTACCAGGCTCCAGTGGAGCGCTGTGCTCAGCACCAGGGCCCTGGGTGAGAATTGCTGCAGCCAGTCCTGTGTTGTGTGAGGGGTGCCCTTGGCTGTGCAGGGGCTGGGACAGCTAGGGGTTAGGGTTTATGTTTAGTTGTTTATATTGTTGTCATTTTAGATAAAAACAGTATCAAAGTTTGCTTATACCAAATCTTCAAGTACTGCAAACTTGTCCTGATTAGGAGGGATTACTGATAGCTTACTGTGGTGTTTAGATATGAATCTGAGGGTACACGAAGGGAAGTAAAGAAAGATTGAAGCACATGGAAGAATGTAAGGTAAACAGCAACGCCTTGCAGTATGCTGAGAACTTATTTATAGTGTGGTATGTTAACAGTGTAGTACTGGTAGAATAAAGGTCTATCATCAGATTTTGACCTTAAATAGTCTAAGGCTGTGTAGATACTTCTACGATTACACTATTTTACTTTTGTTTCCTTTAAGGTAGGTGAAAACAAAGTGAGCAAGTAGCCTCTTTCAGTGCAGCACTAATTTTGTCCTATTATACACCAAAAGATCACAACTAAGTCAAAATCACATACTTAGTTCACAAAAGAAATTGTCACCACTGCAGTGGGAAGGCACTGTATGAAATTTTGACAAAAAGTTTTATTTCATTTCAGTTTTATTTCATTTAAGCATTTAAGCACTGTTTCGTATCTCTCAAGTAAGACGATTCAGTCAAAATCAAATGCTTTCATGGAGGCTGACAAGTTTAGGAGCTGACAGTATTCTTGTGTAGCCCTTGGTGCCGTATGTCATGGTCACATTATCCCATATGTGTGTTCAGGCACAGGCTGTCTGCACTGTCTGTGGGCAGCCTTTAACTCCTCTGCTGTTCCAGCGCTGGCTGTTCCCTCAGTCTAGCACGAGAGGCCCTTCTTACCACCGTACTAGCACACAGTCTCCGTTCTCTATTGAGTAGAACTGCAAAGGCTTTAAGTCATTGTCTAGTTCAACTTCTTTTCCTTCCAGCTAGAAATAAGAAAGGAAAAAAAAACCTGATCAGACTTACACTGAAACCTGCTCATGTAAACCAAATATAGATCAGGCAGTTGCAGTCAGGGAGGATCTGGCATATTACAGGAATGAAATTAGGTCCTAAATTACATCATGAAGTCTGGCCTCCTTAAGTGAAATCAATGTCATTAGGTAGGAGTTTAGAACGTGCTATTGCCCTCTAGCAGCATGCAGTGTTTTATTGTTGAGTTACCCACTTTTAACTTACTTTAGAACTTTCATAGGACAGTTTCAGTTCTGAACCAGGAATTTTCAGTAGGCGATACAGCAATCCTTTGACCCTCTGAATAGTCATAGACTCTGCCAAGGGGAAAGAAAGAAAAGTTACCAGAAAAATGCTGTTAGCACTGAGCTGTAGCAAAGTACTAGTGTTTCAACTATACTTGCTTATAGCAACAGTGGAAGGCTGTATTGCTGCTTCAGTTCTAACACTGCAATAATACCTTTTGTACCTGAAACCATAACTGCTAATATAAAACTGAAAATGGTTTAATCTCTGGGGGATAGGACAGGACATGCTACTATGGTTGAAGCGCTCTGATCCCTTGTACCAAACTGAAGTGTTAAAGCTTCATAATTTACCTTTTTTTCAGTTTGTATTTACTATGTGCTAAACCAAGTGACCTTTGGGACACACACCAGTCAGGTTCTGACCACTTGCGTCTGGTGACTGTTCCTTGAAGTTTTCATTACCAGGAATTGGCATTCCCAGCACAAAAAAGTGAATGTCCCTGTGGAACTAACACCGTTCTTAGAAATGGCATTACATTAAGTAGTCCCAAACCAATTGCCAGCAGCCTTGTAGAGTGCTTTATATTACTAAGTCACTTACACAAAGGGATATTTTTTGTAATGGATCTGGAATGAGTAAATGTGGTTTGTTCCAGAGGCGATACCTGTGTTTGCAATAGATACACTCAAGTTTTTGGTTAAACTTTCACTTCTTTTGAAGCTCTACCTAAAGGCACAGCAATAGTGAGTTATTCCTGTAATACCACACATTGTACTTAGACAAATATTTTTCTATCAAACATTTTTGTAAAAGCTGTATCTATCTGATTTTATGCAACTTGTGATAATAAATGTGATTTTTATTTTAGAATAAAGCTTGAGTAAGTCTTTTCTGTCAGACTCCATTTCACATCTTTTCCAAAACACCAGTCTGATTTAGAACAAAGTCTATTCATTCTAGTCTCGCTACAGGCACTAAAACTTCAAAAGACAAATCTGATACAGGTCAGAATTAGATTTCTAACTTAATGTGTTAGATACTAGATCTTATTATCTTGTTATTTAGTTAATACTGTTATGAGATTTCATAGCTGTTAATTAGCCTTTGATTGCCTCAAACATATTTATCATGAAATGAGCAGCAGAAGTCGTAAGACAAGCATCAGCTTTCAATCTTCAAGCTGGACTAAAAGTAAGTATGAAGGTCAGAAAAACAATGGCTTTTTCAAAAACTTTCTGCCTTTGTCATTTCTTTATATGACAGAGTTGTCAGGGAAGAATCTGCAGGAGCCAACAAAGCCAGAGGCAGCTGCCATTTTGTAACACAGTTATTGGCAAAGGAGCTACAAATGAACTGCTTAAACACAAGCCAAGACTTCTTACCTGGTAGCTTTTTCTGCACTGGCTTCTGTTCAGGTTTCTCAGGACATTTAATTGTCAAAGCTAAGGGAAAGAAGGTGAGGCATTAGTGAATGACTGTTAAGTCCTGGCAGGAGCAGAGTCTTTCTAGTCTGTTTTTATTATGGATTGTTTCCCCTAGCTCAGCCCGATCTGCTAGAAGATTAATTAGGACGTAGCCTGCATCTGAGCAGCTAAGAGAGCAGTGAGTCATTCTCTGAAAAATTACAAGTAATTTTATTAAAATATTCACATTTTTATTGATCTTTGGTGAAAAGATCAATAGGGAAATATTGTAGGGAAAATATTTTAAAAGTGACTCCCTAAGACTTGGTTTTTTTTTTGGTTCAAAGGAGCATTTACCTAAAAATGCTTAATTTCTAGTTAGCTTTTCAAAATAATCTGCAGTAGAATGGAAACTACTTGCTAATTTAAAACAGGTTTTTGACCCTTAATATCTCCAAAGCACCATACAAGCACATTTTAAGGAACTTATTAGCCTAATTCTCTTTACAGACATTAAAAGACTCAGCCTTAAGAAAAGGTTTCTATTATGTCTAGCCAACTAGGTTCCTTCCACCTAAACGCATTAGAATGTAATGCCTTAAAATGCTATTTTGCCCATGGAGTAAAGAAGAGTTCAGTTCTATCAACTGACAAAGCTAAGTGAATTTCTAAGTTTGGGATGTAACCCTAGGCAGCCCCAAATACCGAAGCTACCCATAGTTTTCTAAGAATCTATGAAAAACATTATCAGAGACCAGTGCAGCTATTGAGGTTAAAATCTCAAATGCTATATAGAAGCCTATATAAAAGCTATATAGAAGCTATACAGAAGCCTGTATAAAAGCTATATAGCTTTTATACAACAACAGAGTATTGATTTCTGCTATTCTCCATTAAGTCTTAATTAAGAAAATCATCTGGCTTGGGTTGAGGGGGAAATGACAACAGAGGACACAGAGGGCAGGTATCTGGTGAAGCTCCTTGATACACACAGTTCAGAGAAGCAGAATTACAAGCTGGAACTCCGTGACATCTGAAAGGCTTTTGAACCTTTTGTTCTCCACATCCACCCAGGAAACACTGAGCTTGTAAAATATTTTAGATGCAGAAGGAAAGATTTTGACCATTTCTGGCCTCTTACTCAGAAGCTGATTTTTCAAAGTCAGGGGCTGTTGTGCCTTCAGTTCTCCTTCTTCAGGCGCACCATATTCTGTGTGAAGGAAAAGTGCCCATATTCATGAACCCTTCAAAGACTCAAACCCAGGAGTAGACTTCAGAGCACTGTGGTGTTGTATCAGGCACAAGCCTGCTGCCTCAGGTCCCTCAGCAGCTAGGATACTGCCTATAGAAGGTGGTAGGCTCCCGCAAGGCGAGGTGCTGCAGGCATGAGCGTGGACTGACTGCTATAGCACTTTAGGAGGGTGCACAGGCACATGGGTGGGGTGGAGCAGGTGGAGGCACAGGGAGGTGCTGCATAACACTCCCACTCTAAAAAAAGTCCCATGTGGAGACAGCCGCTCCCTGCAGTGCCTTGAGTTATTGTGCATCTGCTCACAGGTGTCATCTCAGAGGCAGCAGTGTCTGGAAGGGTGCAGTGCTTTGCAAAAGCCGTTTGCATGCAGGCCTCCAGGGGGGTGGGCTTTCCTAAGGCAGCACTTGAAAAAGTCATCAAAGGGTAGAGGAACTGAAGAGAGACCAAACCAGTGCTACCACAATGCCAGGAGCAAGGAAGCATTATTTTTACTGTACTTGTACTTACTAAGACAAAGCAATGGGTATCTAGGATGAGCAGCAAGAAATTCTTCACTTGGATTGTTCTTCTCTGGGTTCCAATTCCCACCAGCTGCTAACCAGTCATTTCCAAATATTTTGCGATAATCAAGCTCTGCTCCTTTTCTTTCAGCAGGAGGGATCTGTACTGACACAGGAATGGTGCATAATTTAATTATACAACTTTATGGAGAGTGACAGTGACTCCTTGCTCTTACTTAGGTCATCAGTATGTTTTATTGCTAAACTCTTATCACCAAGTACTGACTGCTTTATAAATTTAGTACATTTTAAAGCTATTAAGAACCTTGCAAACCCAACCTCCATGTACTGACTGATTCAGAAATGAATATTACGTAAAGATGTTGCTGTACATGATGACACGAGGATGTTTTTTGTAGCTATAGAACTGATGCTGCTTCCGCTCTCTTTTATGATACGCATTTGCTGAAAGCTTGATTTGGCTTAGATAAACCAAA